TTGAATGTTTCTAGGTACTAGCAGTAAGTTTTCAGACCTTGCGCACAGCGCCAGGCAAAGTACAGTTACAGATCCAAATGCAGATGGCCAGACAACTCGACTGCAATCAACCTGCATTCCTTCCCTTGTATGGCCCAGTGCAGGTGTTGGGGACTGGCTGCTCCCTCTGCCTCACCCCACTCCACCCCAGGTCAGGATTATCCAGGGGCCGCAGTGGCCTCTGACCCATCCCTCCCCACCTTGGAGTCCAGGTTGAGTCAGGGGGAAAGCACCATGGGTTTGGGAAGATGATATGGTCCATGCAGAGAGTGGTCTGGCCCTAGAGTGCAGGACAGAGCAATGTGGGAGCCACACACTGTTGTTGGCAACGATGGCTGCTTTTATTCAGCAATCTCGGCGCATGGCACCCCAGCCTAGGGCCTACTCCGCAGACGGAGTCAGCTGTTCCCGCCTGGAGCAGAGGCCCCCGTTTTGCTTCTGCAGCGTCTCCTCGTGTTGAGAGAAGCAGGCAGGGCCGAGGGGCAGAGGTGAAAACGTCCTTTACGCCTTCACATGTCGGGTACGTCATCTGGCATCAAACTCCTCCTGGCAGGCAAGGTGCTTCTCGCCAGCAGCCAAGGCTCCAATCCGGGCTCCCAGGCCTGCTGAGGGCCTCAAGTCACAACAGAAAACAATGCCCAAGACCCCTGAGCTTCGCACAGAACATCGGAACTGGGAGCTGGCTGGGCCCGTCACAGCCATGGCTGGAGCAGGAGTGAGGTAACGAGGTGGGCAGAGAGGTGCAGGGGGAGCTCTCTACACCGTGTGCAAGTTCCTGCTCCACGTCAGGAAAGCAGGGGCGTGAAAAGATGGCCTTCCAGAAAAATGCTCCTCCCGGACCCAAAATCGCATCTTCTGGAAGAAAACTAGAGATGGAGGGGAGTGCGGCCAGCCCTGCTGGAAGTTGGGGGATGAGGGCAGAGGATGCAAGTGGTGGATGGGGTGATTGTCCCACTGCCTAGAGACGAAGGTTGGAGGAGGAGAGGGTCAGGAAGAGAGGTTCTCAAGCTTCCTAGTGGAGTGGGCAGGTGCAGTCAGGGGACGCCCTGCCACCTGAGGGGAGAGAGGAGAGTGCTAGTTCTCCTGGGGTCCCTGGGAGGATGGGCTGGCCTTGGCCGCTCTGCAGAGCTAAAGATGAAGCATAGAGGGCACAGGAAAGATCCTACTGAGACCACACAGTCCAGAAAGATCCTTCCCCTAATCCGGCCTCTAAGATTTCACCCTAGAGATGATGCCTGCAAACTTATGGACACGGTCAAGCTTGTGTCATGGACACAGCAATGAAGAGAATCCACTTCTCTCAAAGCATTGCTCTAGGTTTCTTGGTCCTCCGCCTTCCTGGTAATCCTAGGTTCTTAGTGTCTGTGTTCTAAGGCAACTCCTTACTTTAGCCAAAGCTCCATACCTAATCCAAACCCCAATGAGGTTGGAGACAAAAGAGAGGTGGTCAAATCAGGAATGACTTCTCCCCACCTTTTGCTCTAGCAAAGAGAAGGAAGGACGGACAGATGAAAGGCTTTAGGGATGGAAGACAAGGTTAGTCCAAGATGGTGTCCTTCTTGCCACCCTCCTTTTTCCTTAGAAAAGTTCAAAGGAAGCAACCCTCCAAAACTAAGACTAGGCCGACAGAGGAAGAAACACCCTCCCAGGTTAACACTGAACAACACAGCAAGCTTGATCTCTCTTTCTCCTCTCCCTCTCCCACCCATTCATTGGACCTCCCTAGTCCTCTTAGCCCTTAGAATAAAGTTTTACTACCCTGGATTTCCCGGGAACCCAGACACTACCCTATGACTCATCTAAACACCAGAGAAGCTCTTGTCCAGAAGGCCCATCCTCTCTTGGCAGGGGGCCGTCCAAGTTTGAGAAAGCCCAGACTGGCCAGGCTCTGACCCAGCCACCTCCAAGACCAGGTGAAAGCTAGAGCTGACCTTAGGACAGTCTAGATCAAGCCCTGAAGCGCAGAGGGCGGGTGTGAGTGTGTGTGTGTGTGACTTGTCCAATGGCAGGACCAAGACTCAGGCCCAGGTCTCCCGACCCTCTCAGACCAGTGCTGTTACCGAGAGCTCCAAACTGCTGATCTTACTATCCTGCAACGTTACCCCTTTGCCCTAAGATGGGGACGGGGCAGGAGAGAGTCACAGACATGGCTGGCCTCGCCAACACCAGTCTTGTCAATTCCCCCACAGTCTGTGGGAGTGGACTGCAAACCTTACTATTCTCACCTGCCTAGAAACTGCAAAACCTTTTGCAGAAAGTGCAAACTCTCAAATATCTCACCACATGATGCAGAAAAACTCCTCTAAGACTGAGTTCTTATGTAGAAGAAAAAAAAAAAGCCCTGGCGGGGAGAAATAACATAAGAAATGGCAGTTTTAATGCTCCCTTACAAGGCAGGCTGCCAGCCACGAGTTACCATGTCATTTATGCGTTTCACTCCCAAACTGACCTGCAAGGGTGAGGTCCCTTCTCTTTGACAGGTTACTGAGTAAAAGCGAACAGCTTTTGTCTGGGAGTGAACAGAGGTGTTGGTTTTCTCCTGGTTTGAGAAAATGCCCATAAGTGATCCAAGATTCTTAGAAATGAGGCAAGCCAAGAGACGCTTCCCATGGGTACACACTGTCTCCTGTGCAAATCCCCAGAAATCCAGAGGGTTCCTTGCACAGTTCCCTGTCACTGCTTCTGCCCGAGAGGGGCCTGTGAGATGAAGCCAAAGTAAAACAATCCTGCAGTCAGGCCTACTTCCACCACTTTATTGCCAGCAAATAGCCCTTTTAAAGTCACCCTGAAGGTCCCAACACACTACCTTTAATAACTGAATAATTTAAATAAATAAATATGCATGGAATAAATTAGAGAATTTACCATTTGTCCTTTCAAAAGTTTCTGAGAATACTTTTGACTTCTAGCTACTCCAACAAGAAAGTTCCTAGCAACCTGCACTCTTCCTTCTCCTTTGGCTTGGGTCCCATAAGCCTTAATGCTCATCAGGGTCTCCCATTCAAGGTCCTGGTCAGGGCTGATCTTGACCTGCTGGCCTGTGGGCACATGCACCCTTCACAAGGATTCCATGCAACTCTATTTCCTCATATCTCCTTTTCTAAACGAGGGCTATCAGTTCCAGATGACCCTCATAGAACCTTCTCACCCTATCTGGTTGCGGCATCTTTTGGTCTTCTCTTCCTACCTTTAGGGCAATAACACGAACCTCTTTTTCAGACAGAATGAAAAGTTAAAAATTCTTTTTAATTGCCAAAGTGGGATGCTCAGGCCAGTCCAAGAGAATATAATATAGCTCTTCTTTTTGACTAGGTGAGTGATCAACTCTCCCTTCCCTCTGCCTGTTCCATTAAAGAGGTCCGCAGGAACAAGAAATCTGGAAGAGCTCTCCTTGCCAAATTGGTATAATTCTTTCCTGATCAAGAATCTCTACAAGCTCTGCCCGGGGCTGGCAGGATTCCTTGGGTCATCACAGGAAGAAACAGCGGTTAGTGTGAAGGATGCTAAGCATGTGCAGCAGGGCCCCATGAGGTCAGATGAATCACGGGCTCTGTAAGCCAGCCCCCACAGGCCCTGGACGACTCACTTTCCTAACCCATGGCCTTCCTCCTACTCCTTAGGAATCTCATACCTCTCTGGGGCCAGAGGCCAGCGAAGGTTTTGCTCCTCCTGCTAGAACTTCCACTCCTCGCTCTGATAAACAGGGTCTGGAATGGCCCACAGTGGGGCAGACTCAATTGGCTTTTTCCTGCCCAAACCCATGTACCAAGGCCAAATTCATTCCCTCCAAGGCTTAGGTCTTCTTTCAGAGGCAAAGTATCTCAGATAGTAGACTCCCTTGACTAAGTTGGTTCCTCACTGAGAGGAAATGATGCTGGCAGCCAGAAAGCGTGTGGATGTTGGTGCTCACTACTCAGAGGAGCTCTGTGGTTAGACCCTCCAATCCGTCTGTGGCTAATACATTCACCCTCTCAAACCCTGGAGGTCCTAGAACACCCTGATTCACCCTAGAAATCAAATGACAGCTCAAAGGGAAGGGGTTAGAGCCACAGACCTGACTTGCTTACAATCACTAAAAGAGAAGTTTAACAAGATCAAAAACGCTCCACCCTGACTAATAAACAATGTGCTCTTAGGGCACAGAGGAAAAATAGGGCTTTAGGCACTAAAAAGTGACACTTCACCCAGATCCAGCCTGGGAAAAGACCAGAGAGAAGGGGGTGGGGTGGGAAAGGAAGAAACCCCCACCCTTATTGGGTCCACACCCCACGCAGGTTAGAGGAAGGGGCAGGGGTAATGGAAGAGGATGCCCTTCATCAGAACACCAGCCCTTAGGAGCCTGCAGCCACAAAGCCCAAACCCTTCAGAGACGCCTGCCCAGCCAGCCTGTGGGACCCCTCCACCAGACTCGTGGTGCGCAGTCCATGCACATGGGGCAGCCTTGTATGGTGGAGCTTAGATGGGGCTCCTGCCCTGGACGCTTCCTCATGCCCAAGAGAACACCTTGGGGGAAGCGTGGGGTAGGGAAGAAAAGATTCTCTTCTATTTTGGAAACAAACCAAAAGGGGATTCAGGAACGAAGCACCTTAAGCAATGCCCCCCTTGAGACCTCTTCTCGCGACCCCAGGGTCTTCACAGGCATAACTTTGGCTCGACATCTCCCTTCTCAGAGCCGAGAGTGGTCAGCAAGGGAAAGGGTGGGGACGACAGGATGGGGAGCAGGAGGGTCGGGGGAGGTCGGTGCTGAGAGGCGGTCCCTGCCCTCCTCGGCGCTCCGCCGGCCAGCGCAGGGGGTGGCCCTGCTCCTTCTCCCTGGTACATAGGCATTAGCTCTTTTTAAAATCTGTATATAATATATATATTTATATCTGTATATATATATATATATTTATATATATATTTATATGGTCTCTGTACACGTATTGCACAGGCCTCCTGCAGCCACCCCAGCTCCTGCCTTGTCAGTGGTACCGGTTCCTCTTCTCCTCGCTTTCTGACATGTAGTCTCGGGACCTGATGCCATTCTGAAGATTGATGAGTGAGTCCTTCATCTGTAAGACAAGGAAGTGCACCCCAGCCCGGGTTTGTGCCCTCAACTGGGCTTCTCCAGCCAGCAGCACCCACCGCGCCTGAGCATGGGAGGTCCCCATGCCAGGGAGCTGAAGGGGGTAGGCTCCTAAAACAGGGAGGTTCTCCAGGGACACAGTCTCAGGACAAAGGGGGACAGCTGATCTATTAATAGCACCGGGCACCCCCAGGGTAAGGGTCGCTGTGTCATTGAGACCCCCACCCCCCCCATGGTCCTCGTTGCTCTGAATTAAGAATTCTCTCAAAGTTTCCATTGCTATTGGGACCTGCATACAAGGCCACTGGCTCGGTCTTCTCCTCACTCAGCTTGGCTTCCTGCTGATCCCTGGAACAGTTGCCACACTGTCCACCCCAGTTCAGACACTTCTTTCTTGCCCATCAATCTTATGCATCTACTATTTTTTAATAAAGTTTTTTTTTTGGATATGGACCACTTTTAAAGTCTTTACTGAATTTGTTACAATATTGCTTCTGGGGACTTCCCTGGTTGTCCAGTAGCTAAGACTCTGCACTCCCCATGCAGGGAGCCTGGGTTCAATCCCTGGTCAGGGAACTAGATCCCGCATACCCCAACTAAGACCCAGCACGGCCAAATAATTAAACAAATAACAGTAAATATTTTAAAAAGTACATTGCTTCTTTTTTTTTTTTCTTGGTTTCTGTGCCATGAGGCATGCGGGGTCTTACCTCCCCGACCGGAGATCGAACCCTGTACCCCCTGCACTGAAAGGAAGAGTCTTAACCATTGGGCCACGAGCGAGGTCCCTCACCCAACTACTGTGAAGGCCCAGAACAAACCCAAACTCTCTCTGGCTCACAGCCATCTCTCTCTCCTGGCCTTTCACGTACCACTCCCTAGGGTTCTGCACTGCAGTCATCTTTAATGTCTTTGTTTCAGGCGTGTTGAGACTACACTGTCCTATCCTTCTTTTATTCACCATGGGTGCTAAGCAGGGAGCTGAGGAGGCTCCTAGCTGTACCCATAAATCCCAACTGAATTTCTTAACCTCCTGTAAGAAACACACGCATCCCACATCATGGGATGGAGTCTACATGGGGCACTTCCAGCTAGAGGACCCTAAAATGAGGTCCACCACAATACAACATGTTTCAGCCCTGGCTCTGGAGAAGTTGCTTCGTTACAGCCCAGGACAGAGAACGTTTCACCGGTAAATAGTTAAGGATTTTGAGAACCTCTGATTTCTCTGCTTAATCCACTACTTTCTTCTCTTTAGTTCTCCTGTATCCTCTGCTCAGTAGGGATGAGGGGCTCCTTAATGTTCTTTTAAAGGGAATGGAATGTTGGGAATTCCCTGGTGGTCCAGTGGTTAGGATTTGGTGCTATCACTGCCAGGACCTGAGTTCAGTCCCTGGCTGGGGAACTAAGATCCTGCAAGCCACAAAGAGTGGCTAAAAAAAAGGAAGAAAAAAAAATGAGGGGAACAGAACAAGACATTGATTTTTTTTTTTAAAGATTTTTTGATGTGGACCATTTTTAAAGTCTTTATTGAGTTTGTTACAATATTGCTTCTGTTCTATGTTTTGGATTTTTGCCCGCAAGGCACATGGGATCTTAGTTCCTTGACCAGGAATGAAACCCATAGCCTCTGCATTTGAAGGTGAAGCCTTAACCACTGAACCTCCAGGGAAGTTCCAAAACATCAACCTTAATGGTTGTAGAGTCGAGTCTGCACACATACTAAGTCGCTCAGTCATGTCCCACTCTGCAACCCCATGGATGGCAGCCCTCCAACCTCCTCTGTCCATGGGATTCTCCAGGTGAGAATAGTGGAGTGGGTTGCCATTTCCTCCTCCAGGGGATCTTCCTGACCCAGGGACTGAACCTGCATCTCTTATGTCTCCTGCACTGGAAGGCGGGTTCTTTACCACTAGCGCCACCAGGGAAGCCCACAGAGCCGAGTCTACAGGCTACAGATCTGACGCCCCCAAGCTCCTCCTGAAGGAGACCTGCCCTGAACAGGATTCCACGGCTGGAAGAGGATCAGGTCATCCAGTGACTGCCCCCACCCCTTTAATTCCTAAGTCCCTTACCCCATGCATCACCTCATCACCCTGGGAGCAACTTTCAGAGACGGAACCGCAGTCCTTCGAAGCAGCCCATTCCATTTCTGGGCTCTAACCATAAGGAGTCTGCTTCTAATTGATGACTCAAAAATTCGATAGATACCCTATAACTTCTGTCCCTAGTTCAATCCCCTGGAGGCTCACAAGCAGTCTAACCCTTCTAGCTGTTAGACCCCAACGTCTGAAGACTGTTCTCTTCTGCTCACCCACCCAGTCTTCCCTGCTCCTGAGCACATCTTTAATTCTATCAATCTTCCTGATGCGCCAGAGTTCCAGACCCCTTGCTATGCTGTCTACCCTCTTTTGATTAAAAAATGCCCTCCTTAAACGTGGCTCCAGTGCTCTGATATGTGATACTTAAAACCCACTGGGGTTTCCCAGGTGACGCAGTGGTGAAGAATCTGCCTGCCAATGCAGGAGATGCAGAAGAGTCGGGTTCAGTCTCCAGATTGGGAAAATCCTCTGGAGAATGAAGTGGCAACCCACTCCAGCATTCTTGCCTGGAAAATTCCATGGACAGAGGAGCCTGGTGGGCTACAGTCCATGGGGACACAAAGAGTCAGACACAACTGAGCACAAGCTAAACCCATTAAACTGGATCCTGGTAGTTGAATTAAAATTCTCTTTCCTTAATTGAAAACTAAGAGACCAAACCATGAAGGAGACAGAAAATTTAATATTAATGAGTGCCTATGTGGCATCAGAGCAAATGTGACAGCAATTTCATGAAGCAACGATTACAATTTCCATCTTATAGATGAAGAAATGGAAGGTCACTGTTACTAAATCCTTTGCTTAAGGTCAAAAAACTAGTTAGTGGCAAGGGTAGGATTCCACCTCTCTCTGATAAAATGAAGTTAATGATTTCACCCTAGGAGGACTTTCTTAAATAGATGCATCTAATTTTCAGACAGCAGGAGGCTCTCAGAACAACCTCAGAGGAAAAGCCATGTCCTGAATGCTGTGTGTTGTGTCTGTTTTGAGGGCAGTAGGTGGTGAAGGATGGATGGAACACATCCAAAGGACTAGAAAGACATGCCCTCTAGGAAGATAAATCTCTGTAAAAAGGGAGCTATCTCTTTAAATGCTGTCAGATGGCTATGGCTTAGCAAGAAAAAATATATAGTTTTCCTTCCATCTAACCTATAGTTTTTTCCTCTTGCAAATCCACTGTGTTATTTCACTGATGTAACTTTGGGGAACCCGGGTCTTTCCAACCATGCACTCAAGGATGGCTCTAAAACAAGAACCATGGCTGGCATGGAGAAGAATGGATGGAGGAGAAGGTCTTGGGGGGATGGAGACAGTGCTCCTCTCAGAGTGCAGGGAAGATGGTCCACATCTAGCAGACTGGGGCAAGGAGGGCAGGTAGGGGCGTCTCACCTGGTCAAGAAGCATCACCGAGGATTTGATGATCTCCCTCCATTTCTGGAGCTCCGTATCGTGGTACTTTTGCTGGGACTCTAAGAGCTGGGCCCACTCTGTCTGGGACTGGGGTAACCTGTGGGGTAGGAGAAGGGGTACCCCACCAGCTGGAGTTATGTCCTGTGAGCTCAGACCCCACATCAGAGCACTCTGTCCTGCACAGGGTCTCCTGTGCCCCAAATCAGAAACAGACTAAATGACAGGGACAACTGCCAGAGCTCAGCCATGGACTCACTCCCAAGGGTTACCCAACCCCCAGCGAGGGCAGCAGGGCCGTCCCAGAGACTGAGAGGCAGGAGCTGAGACACGGAGGGGAGCAAGGGAAGAGGCTGGGGTTACCTTTCTTGGAGCCGGAGACCCTGCCAGGCGGTGAGGGTCTGGGTGGTGTACTCCAGCATCCAGAGTTTGTAGAAGAGCATCATGTTGAGGATGACCAGCAGCACCAGACTGGAGGAGATTAGGGGAGGGGGCAGGGGGTGGAAACAGCAGCCATGAGATGGAGCCCAGGAGGGCCCCCTCCCTCTCAGAGGCAGGGATGCACCCCACCCCAGAGGCCACCATCCTTGACCACTGGGTCACCTGAAGCATGGCAGTGAGTGAGTAAGTGAGCTGGGGGAGGTGAGGGGAGGAATGCAGCAAGGGGCAGAGACAGACAGAGAGAGACACGCACTCTCGCCTGGAGGGGCCGGGGCACAGCAGGAGGACGTGGAGGGGTGTGGGGGCGAAGGCCTCAGAAGGAGAACACACAATCACCCAGAAGTGGGTGCTGAGGGAAGAGAGGAGGATGGAGAGGAAAAGAGATGATGAAAGAAGCGATCAGAGAGTCAGTACCTGAAACAGATCCTAATGGGAGCAAGGAAGAAAAGGGGGGTAGGCAGAGGTTAGAAATAGACTCGTGTGGGGAAGGGGAGGCTGTGCTTAATTTGAGCAAGAGAGACAGTGAGAAAGAAACAGCGGGAGCAGAGGAAACAGCAGATGAGGACAGCGAGCAAGCGAGGAAGGGATGGGGGCAGCTCTAAGTGGACACTTGGTATCTCAAGGGAGATCAATTGAGACAAGTTTCCTCCTACCAACCCGAACCCCGGGAGGAATTTCAAGAGCTCCCGGCTCCTCTGTGCATCTGCCAGAGCCCCGCTGGGGGCATGGGGACCAGCTGAGGCTTCCCAGGGATAGGCCGGAGCTATGAGGAGACAGGGAGCTAGGAGGATAACCAGGGGTCGGACCCAGTGGGAAAATGGAGAGTCACCGAGGGCCTGAGAATTCTCTCCTCTAGGCCTCACCGGCCTCAAGCTTCACGGGATAGAGAGATGAAGACTCTGGGACAGACAGGACATAGACACGCAGAACTGGGCACAAAGCATAGTGCCCGGCTTTGAGGCCTCTTAACTTCCTATCAAGTTTCCCAATAATACCCACTCTACTGTGGTGACTCTGAGCACAGAGAGGGTGTACGTGAAGCCCCCCATGGAAGGGATGTATGTGAAACCCCTCACGAGGGGTGTGGTTACTTTCATTAAAGGAGGAGGTACAGACACACAGGAAAAGGAATGAAAAAATGGGAAGATAAATAGATGGAAAAAAGACCAAGAAAGAAAAGAAAATCTATGCCACGTCTCTGACCTTTCAAAATGTGTGGTACAGGTGGCATGTGTTTCTGTGTTTCTCACCCTGGCTTCCAGCACTCTGGAAGTAGCTGACTTCCTTAAAGGGGCGGCTACAAATCCCTAGGGATACTCAGCTGTGTTCTTGGGGCTCTCTGAGCTCTCCAACAAGGACTTCTAAGTGATGTACTGCATCTCAGTGATACCACCTTTAATTGCACCAGACATCTGGATCTTCTGAAAGCCACCTCTTCAAGGTGTCCTACAACCACTTCAGCACCTGCATTTGGGATTGTGCTTACAGTCTGGTCTGTGCTCAGCGAAGGCCAAGGGACACCCCTTGATGTGGCTCAAGTGAAGGCCTGAGGGCGGTCTAAACAGAGAAAAGATGCGAGGACTGGATGGCCATAGGGCAGGCTTATGGTGGCGTGGGCCACTTAGACAGACACCCTGCACTATTCTCGAAGTTTCCACTTGCACGCTGGGAGCAGACCCACTGCCTGGACGCTCTAGGGTTGAAAGATGAGGTCTGAATATCCTAAACTATCAGTGCTCCAACGTGACTTAATACACTATACAATTTACTCAGGCCACCTGATCTTCTCTACTTGCAACAAAACACAGAAGGAGCTGCAAGAGAGCTAACCCAAGGTTAGAGTTTTCTGTTAAGCAAACCCAACATCAGAGATTCAGTTTTAATAATGGTAGGAACGACATTAAAATGCTGCTGCTGAATGTGGATTTTTACTGGTCTTACAGTTGTCTTTGTATTTACCTTTGTAAAAATATGTGGGCTGCTTATGCCATAGTCATAGTCAGAAGGCTTGCATCTATTTTTATGTTACATATTTAGGTACGGTGAACAAGAGAGCCCCGCTCCTGACACTCACAGGGCCTCCCTTGCTACCTGGTCCCTAGGTCTGTCCTCAGCCCATTTCCCCTCTCACACTCCATACTCTCCGCCATGATGGTCTCGTGCACACCATGGCTTTGATGCTACTGACAAATGAACCAGCAACTGCAGCCTAAACTCCCCCTCTAGGCTCCAGGTCCACACTGACAACTATTTATCTGTCACGTCCATTTGGACAACCTCAGAAACACGGGACTGATAGCACCTTCCGCAACATCTTTTCACTAAGTTCCAGGTTTCTCTCCACGACACAACCCTCACGGGCATGTGGACCCGAAAGTCCTCATGCTTCGCTACATAACCAGGTGGCACAAGCCTTAACCTCTGGGCCCTCTCAGCCCCCGGGCCCTCATCTCAGCCCGACCAGCCCCTCCCGCTGAGATCACTGCCATCTACTCCACTGGCCTCCCCGCCTCCCATCTGTTCTTGTCTATTCTATACACAATGCTGCCATCAGGGTGATTTTTTGAAAGTGCAAATCCAGCCATGTCAGTCCAGGGCTTCTTTCCCAGTTTCCTGGTGGGCAGAGCTGTGTGCCTGCTTCTGTGTTTCTGAAAACGCCTCAGTGAAGGCATGAAGGCTGGGGCGTGGGGTGGGCGTCACAAAGCAGGACAGGGCTGCAGACGGCCTGGTGCCCGGCGCACACCTGAGAGGCCAGCATCTGGGCAGCTCCCGAGTCCCCAGCTCCCCCTGCCGTGCCCCCACATCACCCAGCAGGAAGGGCCAGGCTGCCAGGCAAGTGGCCCAACCACGCGGAGGAGCGGCCGGCACGCAGCAGCCTGAGCTGCTCCTGCCCAAGGCGGACGACGGGCTCTGGGCTGACACTTCAGAGCGCTGTGTCCCCCCACTTTGTGAGTTAGTTACTCAGTCATGTCCGACTCTTTGCGACCCCATGGACTGTAACTGCCAGGCTCCTCTGTCCATGGGATCTCCCAGGAATGGGTAGCCATTCCCTTCTCCAGGGGATCTTCCCTACCCAGGGATCAAACCCAGGTCTCCTGCACTGCAGGCAGATTCTTTACCATCTGAGCCCCCAGGGACGCCCTCCCACCTTACAGCCTCATTCCTCTCAACAAACTTCCTGTGCAAGTTACTGAGCCCACAGTTTTACAGCTTATGGCAATGATTTTACACTGTTTACAATAAAATAAGCATGCACTTCTCCTGGACTCCAGGCATCGATTGTGTCTGTCCGCCCAGTCAAAGGGTGGGCCCGTAAGTGTGCACTCCCAACGCCTAGCACAGAGCAGACACTCAGAACCCTATCACAAACGAAAGAATGGGCTCCTAAAATGTCTGTCGCATCTCTGTATTAGCATTTATCCAACACTGCAGTGAGCATCAATTCCTGCCCATCTGACCCACTTGAAATTGAGTTCCTGTCATGGATGCTGTAAGCAGCGTTTTCTTCTGAGTCCTGAAGGCCTAGCACACAGTAAGCAGCGAATAATACAGAAAAAAGCAGCAAAGAGGCAAGAAGTGACAGACAGAGCAACCGATCTGGAGAGAGACCAGAGGCGAAGGCAAAAACCAGGGCAGCAGCGAGGGTGTTTGGACGCCTGAGGAAGACAGATGGGGAGGAGGCGGCAGGCGAGAAAGGAAGGGGCGGGGCAGGACTGGGGGAGAGCTGGAGTCCCTTACACACAGCTGATAACCAGCAGCAGCTTGGACACGCTCTGCAGGTGGAAACCGTTGGGGCTGTCCTCGGGGATGTGCCGCGTCTGCGTGGAACCTATGGGGAGAAGGAAGGGGCCGTCAGCACGTGGCCCGCGAGCCCGCCACCAGCAGACACGAGGCCGGTCCTGCACAAAGCTGTCCATGATGCTGCTGTCTCGGAAACCATGTGCTTCGTGGACAGCCCTCAGCCCTCTGAAACTAGAAGGGAAGTGACTGAACAGCTGAGAAAACCACCTGACTCCTGTAGCTGGGACCTGTAGATGCAGGACAAAGAGACCTGCAGCACTGGGCTGGGCCAGAGGCAGCTTTCAGCGCTGGCTTTATTCCTAACCGGCCACGTGATGCTGAGAAAGTCACGTGAATGCTGAGGGTCAGTTTATTCAAATGAGAAGTTAGTCAGAAGTCCTGTATGTAAAACACATGAATAAGATGGGAGTGTTCCAGCTGAAGCCGGTCGAGGGACACGGAAGGCTGACACCCTCCTCCTTCCCCTGCCTCGTCTCCTGCCCCAACCAGCTCTGATCAACACCCCAGTATCTGGGGAGGGGGGAGCAGAGAATAGTCTGAAAAACCCCCGCTGCAGGTTTCTATGACTGAGCAAAGACAGGAGGGTGTGAATAGCTCCATGGGAGGAGGGAGACACCTTGGGAGAAGGAGGCCACCTTGGACCCCCAGGTGTTTGTGTTACGAGGTAACACTGGGGTCTAAGCTTCAGCTTCTCCCGGAGCCTCTCCTGAGAACTTGGAAGCTTCAGGCTCACGCGCATTCAGGGAGCCATGGAGCTCAGGGAACATGGAGGCAAAAACTCAAAGACACTTTTTGCTTAACAGAGCACGTACGGGGGTACAGGAGGGGCTGGGGAGCTTAAGGGCAAAAGGAAATAGCAGAGCAGGGGTCCCCAACCTCTGAGATCTAATGCCTGATGATCTGAGACGGAGCTGATGTAATAACAGTAGAAATAAAGTGCACAATAAATGTAACGAGCTTGAATCATTCTGAAACCACCCCACCCTCCACCCGAGTCCACGGAAAAACTGTCTTCCGTGAAACCGGTCCCTGGTATCAAAAAGGTTGAAGACCACTGCAGTACAGTATCCAGAGCCTCAGACTTCATGAGTCGTGAGCCAGGCATACCCAGTCCATCCCAGGCTGCAAGGTGAGTGTGCACGTGTGCCTGGTACAGGCAGGGAGCTCTGCCCACAGCCCCAAGACGCCCACCCCTGCCCCCACCTGGCACGCACCGGCCACGTGTTTGATCCTGTGGCCCACATCCTCATCAGTGGGCGTGGTGACGGGACTCATCACCTCCTCCAGGTGCGGCACCCGCAGGTGGGCATGGGGCCGTTTTCTCCTCCGCACCGTGGGGGGCTTGCTGGCCTTCTCTTTGGGAGACTGTCTGTGCATCTCCGCCAGGTAGGCGCTCTCTGTCTTGGTCAGCTCACTCTCTGTCGGGGTCAAAAGACCACGTAAGAGGCCACGTGCCCTTGCCTCCAGCCTAACATACTGACCTACGGAGCAGCTCTGTCCACTCCTAGCTAAATGTCCTCCAAAAGTACCATGTTCCCATACCAGACTCTGGGGTGTTGCCTGGAAGGTGGGGGTCCCTCAGGGATGCCCCTGAGCCCTTGAAAGTTCTCTTGGGACCCAGCCCAGCCCAAAGCCCTCTTCTGGGTCACTCAACAGTGTGTAGGCAAAGGCTTCCAACACACACCCTCACATATGCAACTCGGGGAGCGTCACATTTCCCAGTGGATGCCTTCGATGGCTATTTCCTTCTCATAACAGTATTACCACCAGTGTGTCTAGATCTCAGGCTCATTCTGGGGGGGTCACGGATCCTTTCAATTGTGGTTTAGTCGCTAAGTTGTGTGCGACTCTTTTGTGACCCCATGGACTACAGCCCTTCAGGCTCCTTTGTCCATGGGATTTCCCAGGCAAGAATACCAAAGTGGCTTGTCATTTTCTCCTCCAGGGGATATTCCTGACCGAGGGATTGAACCCATGTCTCCTGCATTGGCAGGCGGATTCTTTACCACTGCGCCACCAGGGAAGCCCACCCGTCACAATTACAATCTCATAAAGGCTGCAGTCAGAGTCTCTTGAACATGCACAAGTTCACATACATGGACCCATTTCTGGGCAGACTCAGGGGCCCTGTGAAGCACCCCCCCCCACCCCCCCCGCCTCCCACTCCCTGAACGGGGACAGAGGGATGGTTCACCCAGCAGCATCAGCAGGTGCTCACCCAGGTGGCGGAAGTAGTCCTCTAGCCCACTCCAGAAGTTCTTCTCGATGAACGTTTTCACCAGCCCCCAGGGCTGTTTCCGATAGCGCAGCTCCGTGGAGACCCTGAGGAGCAAGCCAGAACTAAGATCAGCCCCTTCCTGGGTGGACCCTCCTCTGCTGGGAACAGGAAACTTCGGGTTTAAGGTCAAAGCAGCCTCACGCTGCCCTTTACAGGTTTGCATCCAGGACATCATGTGATTTCCCTGGGCATCCCAGGAGGCAGGTGAAGCTAGTGGGGTTATCCTTATTTTAGGGATGGGAAGACTTGAGTCTGAGAATTTGTAAGCAGACCAAAGATTAACAGGAAGGGTCCTGGCTCCCAGCTCAGAGCTCGCCCGTGACGCCATGGGGCCTCCTCCTGGGAGGGCCCAGGGCCCTTCTCTCTTGTCTCCAGAGACTTCAAGCCCAAGGCAGAGTCTTGGGCTTCATGGCTTCCACCTTTAAGAGTTTCATTGGCTGCCACCTGCCTCCTGCCTCTCCACCTCCCCAGCACTCTGCCAGCTCCTGCTCTGCCCGTGGGCCTCTTGCCGCCTGGTCTCCTGCAGCATCAGCTCCTGCTCCTGCTCAGCCGCTGCTCTGCTCTCCTGAAGGTTCACTCTTACTGCCGACACTCCCCACATCTAAGGCTGCCAGCTCTGCCCTCACGAGGAAGAAGAAGGGACCCCACCCCAGTCAGATGTGTGCACGCCCGTGGCCCCTCACCCCACTCCCAGCAACCACTTCCTGGACTAAGGGTGGGCCCTGTGGGGGTCTAGCTGGACAAGCAGCTACCTTTAAGGGAGCTGGGCAGAAAGGACATCCAGGTGGATGACCCTCCAAGGAATCTGGAAGTGAGGAACACAGACCCTGCAGGAGAGGGAGAGAGGGGCGAGAGGGAGAGAGGGGTGAGAGGGAGGAGAAGGAAGGGAGAGGGTGGGGGAGAGGGAGGAAAAAAGGAGAAGGAAGGAAGGAGAGAAGGGAGGGAGAAGGAAGAAGAGAGGGAGGGAAAAGAGAAGAGCGGGATGGGAGGGGCTGCTCTCACAGAAGCCAAAAAGGATTTTTTTTTTTTTTTAAATTAGAAGACGAGAAAGATTCAGACCCTTTTCTGAGGTGTGGGCATTCATTTAATCTTCCTGACTCCCCAAAGACCCCTCTGCAGCCTTTTACCAAACTCCTATTCTATTTGAATGACAAGAGTGAATTTCTGCTCCTTAAAAGATTTTGGTCTAAGATACAGGTACACGACCCAGTTATTCTCAGATGGGTGTGTGTCTTGGCTTTTCAATCCAACTACAAGCTTCTTGAAATGTCAGAGTCTGATTTTTTTCCATCCTCGAAATGCACATCACAGTGCCCCAGACAGCCATAAACAGCATCGGACTAATCATTCAATCAACACTTTCTAACTCTGCTGTGTGCAGGCTCCATCCTGGGTGCTGGGAATAGAGTGATGGGTGGGCTCCTGCTGGCCTGGATAGCTGCCCATCAGGAAGATTCCTGGAAACTCAAAATATGCCCAGCATTCAGCAGGACAGGAAGGGCAGAGATTCGCTTCTCTAAGACCTGGGTTTCAGTGCTTTTGACTCTTCGAAAAGTTACTCATCTTGTAATGACCCTCAGTTTTCTTACCTGAAAAGTGAGGACAAACTCACCTCCTTGGGTTACTCTGAAGAATCCAGTTCATGGAGGTCAAGTAACTACACAATACTTACAAACTGCAGACAACCACTAAATAGCAGTGGTTCTGACACTTTTACTAGAGAGAGACACAGAGACTTCCCTGGTGGCCCAGTGGCCAAGACTCTTTCCTCTCAGTACAGGGGCCCGGGTTTGATCCCTGGTCAGGGAACTAGATCCCACATGCTGCATTTAAGAAAAGATCTTGCTTGCCACAGCTAATGATGGTGCATGATGCAACTAAGACCTGGTGCAGCCAAATAAATATTTTAAAACAAAAGAGAGAGATACACAGAGGGGTGAAGGAAACATGTGGTGGAGAAGTATGAGTTGTCAGGTTGGGGGAAGGGCGTGGGTGGGTCTTGAAGTATTCAGAGAAAAGACAGAATAAAGAATGAGCTCACAGCCAACACAACTGCCTCCCTCCTCCTCAGGAGCACATCAGTGCTGTCTGATGCAGGGTCCCCCAGGTGCACCAGGGACTTGCTCTGAACCCGCCCGCCCACAGAGACAGCACCTGAGGCGACTCTTGTTGCGGGCCACGCGGGTGAGAGTGTAGCGGTTGATGGTGTAGAAGTAGTCGTGATACGGCACGTCGTGCGTGAGGACCTCGGCGTCGATCACGTAGCACTCGCTCTCCTGGCTCGCCTTGTACATGGTCTACGGGGAAGAAAGGGCGGGGGGCCGGGGCTGAAGAGGAGCAAGACGGGACAGACCCCTCCTTCCCGACGACCTCCCCCAGCCCGCTCCTGACCTGAACGGGGACCCAGGTCCGAGGCCGAACATCACTCGTGCCCAGACATTCACCCTGACGTCTCTGTCCCGAATCCTTTACAGCAGGACAGAGGCCATCCCCGCCCGACCTCAGCTCACCTGTGTCTCCCTGACGGTCGCAGTTTTGGGAGCCAGAGGGTTGGTAAGGGTGATGGTGTAAAGGATCACTCGGCTCTGGTTTCCATTCTCCTCCTTCTTCCACGGATGGAAGATGATATCTGAGGGGAGAGGGGAGCCGGGGGATGAGGGAGGGAAAAAGGCCTGCTGTTCCCACCTCTGAGTGTCTCCCTCCAGTGACCTTCTCTCGGCTGCACTGGTTGCCGACTGGCAGCCCCCAAAGGAACTCAAAGGGCCGGGGGAGGAGGCAGAGAGGAGGGGGCGTCCGAGCAGAAAGAGGCTCATTGTAGACTGGCCGAGGACCTACACAGGCTCCGGAATGCGGACTGTTCTGGGCTAGGGCAGGAGGTCCTGGGGGCCACCTACGGGGGTGCTGGCAACACTGGAGCTACTGTGATGGGGGCCTGGGATCCTTGGGAAGAAGCCCTCTCCTCTGAGGCGCGACCTCCCATTGCCCTCGGCACACCCTCCTCCTGGCAGAGGGCTGCGCTGGTGCCCAAGGGCGCCTCCGCAGGCTCGGACGCTGAGCAGCCTTACTGGTCCCGGGCAGCGGCAGGGCAGGAGCAAGGAGCATCCGGTGCCAAGCAGCGACTCTGAGAGCCCGAGGTTTGAGTCCTGGCTGGGCCCCTTCTCAGCTGCATGATCTTGGGCAGGTAACAGGGGTCTGAGCTCCAGGCCCCTCCCTGGTATCACGGCAACCACAACACTAGCACCAGGGCAGACTGGAGGACTGAATGAGACAATACAGGGTCACATGCCTGGTGGATGGCATGTGCCAACCAGGACATGGTAGCTGCTTCTCTCGGCTAGGTGGTGAGCCCTGGGGGTTCCTGTTCGCCGCTGAGCCTCTGGGGTCTGACACTGAAGGTCCGGGTGCAGAGGACAAGTACAGCCACAGTGGCGTGGGGAGGAGAAGCTGGCAGGGCCCCGGGGAGCTCCAGAACCGCGTGCAGCCAGGGAGGGGGCGCCCTGTGCCATCAGGTGGCCGGGAAAAGGAGGGCACATGGGAGGGGAGGAGAGGAAAGCAGCGCGGAGAGGGAAGGGGTGGGGGCACCAGCCTGGGGAGGCGGACGGACCTGAGAAGCGTCGCTGCTCCATGAAGTCCCGCTGGAAGGGTGAGTCGGTGAACAGGAGGTCATAGAGCTTGTCCACGCTGAAGTTGAAGACTTCGTTCACGTACTGCCGGCCACTCAAGTCCTCGTAGAAGGCCTGGACCTCCCCTGCACAGACAGTATGAGGAGGGTAGGCAGGGAAGGTGACGGACACCCCAGGGCACTTATGTCTCTGTGGCTAATATGGGAATAGCCACCAAGGCTCAAAGGAGGCCTCGGATGGGGCGGGGGAGCCCTGGCTCCACTGTTTGTGGCTTCGTGTCAATCAGCCTCCTTCCTTGGCCGGCGTGCACACTGGATGTCAATGGGACTAGTGCAATGGGACTCTAGTTGCATCCCATTCACTCATCGTTTACAAAGAGCTCATGAATCCGCTATTTGCCCTTACACTTTCAAGCCTTCCAAATTAAAGTGGTCTTTTAGACTAAAGTTTAAATATAATAAATGACTACTCCCTGGGCCTGCTGGTCGGAACCCAGAGGATCAGTTATCAACTGTCTGTAAGTTAAACCACAAATGACAGCTAAAGTCATCACAGCCCAGGGCACAGGTGTGTCCAGGGATGCTGATGAGTCTGTTTATATAAAAGCTTCTACCTTGGACTACAGGGTGGAGATCTGTGATGTGTGAGGTCTGCTCTCCTTCCATAAAGCAGCCTCTACCCCCATGACTCCAATAAATTTAATTTTCTACAGGAAGAAAGTTTCAGAGTACAGGTGTGTGCATGCTCAGTCATGTCCGACTCTGCAATCCCATGTAGATATAGACTATAGCCCGCCAGGCTCCTCTGTCCGTGGGATTTCCCAGGCAAGAATATTGGAGTGGGTTGCCATTTCCTTTTCCAGGGGATCTTCCCGACTTAGGGATCAAACCCATGTATCCTGCATAGGCAGGTGGATTCTTTACCACTGAGCCATGCAGGAAGCCCCTCAGAGCACAGGAGAGTTGCTCAAACCTCAGCACTCCTCCTGAGCCCTCAGCACCGCACAGGCCCTGAATGAGGGACCCAAAAGGGCTGGAGTCTGATCTCAAGCAGGACACTGACATTTCTGGCATCCCGTGACCCTGAGAAGTTCAGGGCATCCTGGAGGGTCCATGCCCACGACTGTGCAGGATGAGGACTGTGGAGCACAGTTGGGAGGGACACTCACTTCTTAGTTTACAAGGGTGGCACCCCTGTCATCACACAGCGGCCACCCGTGCAGCCCTAGACGGCAGTGGCAAGCCAACCACAGGTGAGATACCACTATAGGTCACTCACAGGAGAGACTGTCCACAGATGGATAAGTGAGCATTGCTGGCACAGCCTCACGTCAGACCCCACCACCAACTCACAGTGCTCGTCAACCACACTCATGAACACTGAGCATTTGGCCTCTCGCCCTGGAATGTAAGAGGCAGTGTGTTCCTGGGTGAGGGCGAGATGCAAACCCTCTGCAGGAGGGAAGAAAGAAGCCACCTACTTAGAAATGTCAGAGAAGCACCATCTCCACAGTCTATCTGACGGCAACAGACTAGGTCCGAAACCCTCATGCTGGAGTCAAAGCAAGTGTCAATTAAAACCTAACTATTTTCCAGGGGCTTCCCTGGTGGTTCAGGTAATAAAGAATCCGCCTGCCAATGCAGGAGGTGCTGGTTTGATCCCTGGGTCCGGAAGAACCCCTGGAGGAGGAAATGGCAACCCACCCCAGTATTCTTGCCTGGGAAATCCCACGGACAGAGGAGCCTGGGGGGCTACAGTCCACGGGGTCGCAAAAGAGTCGGTCATGACTGAGTGACTAACTTTCTCCATTGAGAGTGTTTTTTTTCAAGGCTGCCACCAAATCCCACAGTCAGCTCCTATGGTTGATCAGCTCTTCCTGTTTGAACGCTTTCTATTCTTAGTCTCTGGGAAAACAAGCTCTAGGTCACGGCTGCTGCTTCTCCATCTCTTTGTTGGTCGGACACGACTTAGTGAATAAACAACAACGACGAATTTCCAGGGGCAGAGGGCTGGTAGTTTGCTGGTGGCGAAGCACTGATGGGCAGAGCTGCAGGGAAGCCAGTGTCCATGTGCAGTGACAAGACTAAAGGGTCAGGATAAACCACTACTCGCTGAGCAAAGACAGACAAACATGAAATGACAAGGGTTCTACATTGAGTACCCCCAAAAAGGGATATTTGCTAACAACAAGAGTATCTTTTTTAAAAAAGAGCTGTTACCCACCCACCCTTCCGCAGGAAAGTCAGACTGACTCCCGTCTCCAATATGGCAACATCTGTTAAGCCTTCAAAATGTCTGGAGAGAGGGAGGGCCACTCCGCCCCCACTGTGGACGCCCACCTTCGTCGTGGGTGTCGGAAGAGTCACTGAGCTCGGTGGGGATGTCCTCGTTGTCGTTGAAGTCCAGCGAAGGGGAGTTCACGGGCGCAATGATCTCCATCTTCTCCCCGATGATGCTGTCGATGGCGAGCTCCTTCTCCAGGGACCCGTCGCCCTCCAGCACCTCCTCCTCCAGGGGCAGGCCGTCAAACTGGGGTGGAGACAGAGAAGTCAGCCTAGTTTCCTCGCCAGGGGGAAGTCAAAGAGCTGGCCTCGGGGGCCTGCATGTTCAGAATGCTCGGGAACCGGGGTGTGGGGGACAGGGTTCTCCCCAGTTCAGCTGTGGGAGACAGAACCGAGCAAGAGGCCCTCTCCTTCTCCTGACCCCAAGCCCCACATGTGGGCACAGGCAGATCCCTTAGTCCAGCTCCTCTCCTGGGCCTAGGCCTCTACCATCCTATCACCACGTGAGCCTGTCTCCACTACTGCCCTATTTCCTGAGAGGTTCAAAAGGCTTCTTAAGCACTATTTGATTCATTCTCCCTTTAGCCCTGGGAGGGAACAGGTACACTTCTTTACATTTTAAAGTTAACCTCAGGGACTTTCCTGGTGGGCCAGTGTTAAGAATCTGCCTTCGAGTGCAGAGAATGTGGGTTCAATCCCTGGTCAGGATACTAAGCTACCACATGCCTCCTTGGAGCAACTAAGCCCACACGCTGAAACGAGAGAGCTCACACGCCACAACTACAGAGCCTGTAGGCTGCAACAAAGACCAGTGCAAAAAAAAAAAACAACAAAAAAACTCAGACACAATAACTTAAAAAAACAAGTTAACTTCAAAGACAGAAAATGGAGACTAGGCATCGAATGGATGTTTTCATTCTAAGGCCAAGTGGTCTGACTCCTAAACCACTAGAACACAAGGCTCCCTTTTCTGGGAACCCTCTCTTCTACCTGTCAACTCAGACCCGGACACTTCCTTCATCCAACTTCTACTCGCTCCATTACCAAGTCCCAGAGGGACAGACTCCTTCTTCCACATTGCTGTCTTTTGCAAAGTCAGCAAAGCAGGAAGGTAACCTTGAGTGTCCATACCAGGGGCTCCATCAGGATTTACGGAATGAATGAGCAGAGAGCAGTTGTGCAGTCCTGTACTCATGACTTTGACGTTAGATCAAGGCAGTGAAAAGAAGACCTGGAATAGTTCTCCACCAGCGGGCTGATCACGGCAGGCCACCAAGGGCAAAGCTATACAGCGGACTTGGAATGATTCTCATCTGCTCAGAAGCCAAACAAAATCTGGTACCCGCCGTACTGAGAACCCAGCTCTGGATTCTACACTCATTTATGTGGAGCCCCTCTGCATAAGCTGACCATGGTATAACCAGCCTCCCCTCTGCCTGCTCCCCAGGCTGGGGTGGCAGCAAGGCGGTTCTCCCTGCCCGTACCGAGACGGGGGCCTCACTGCTCCCCGTGGACGTCAGGGTGCTGTTGGTGATGGATTTCTTGGGCAGCTGTGGACTGGCATCTGGCTTGGTCTCTATGCTGCTTTTGGACGAGCTGTCGTTCACTTCATTCTCCTCTACGGGGATCTCCTCACAGTAGCTGAAAAGAGAGACAACATGCACCTATGTTAACCTTGGTGGCCAAGACAGCCAGCTCATGAGAAACTCAAACTCCTAAAATTATACGGGCTCGTCTGTTTCTCTGCTGTGTCCATGACCTTCCTCGAGCCACTACTTGCCTCTGAACGGCCCTTCTAAAACCTCCTTCCCATCTTACCTCTAATTCCCAAATCTCTATCCCCAAATTCACCTTTTCCAGGCATTCTCTTAAATATGACCATTTTTTGTCTTAAAATTCCTTTTTTTGCCCATTGGCATCCCATCCCACCCCAACCTGACCATCTTAATCAAACATCTGTGCTCTGAGCATACATGTGACTTCCCATAGTGACTGGGACAGGACTCTGAATGAGTGCCCCTTGCTGGTGCTGCCCAGATTCTGGGTCATAAGTAGCAAACTTCTCTGCACCACACACTGAGGAAAAACCCTCCTAGAGATAAAGGCGGGCACTGCCCTTTGCTGGTGCTCCCTAGATTCTGGATCATAAGTAGCAAACTTCTCTGCATCACACACTGAGGAAAAACCCTCCTTGAGATAAAGGCGGGCACCCTTCTGCAGACACCGCAGGTATGCCACTGTAGCTTCTCCCAAGGGAGAGACCATCATCACCATTCTCATCGGCATCTAACCTCTACACGTTACCACATCTGGATGCATTACAACTCTGCGTAAATCTTGATACGCATTTTAGAGACAATCAAGGAGATACACAGTGAAGTGATGATACTCTTCAGTGTGAGAAGCGGTACCTGAGCGCAGGCCTAGGCACTGCACATCTGATGCTCTTTCCTTGCGGTCTATTCTTCCATGCCTCTGACACGACCACCACACCTCTCCCTCAGGCCTGCCTGCACCACTTTAACCCATCAACAGCACGTGGTTCAGCAATAGCCCCCTCTCTTTACAACATCCTTTCCTTGGCTTCTAGGACACGAAACTCTGCTAGCGTCCTCCCACCTCATTGGATGTTCTTTTGTGACTTCTTTTGCTGCCTCTTTCCCAGGCCCAGTCCCTGAGTTGCTTCTTATGTTAATTCAGTCACCTGGTGATCTCAGCCACTAATAACCTCCGAGGTTATGGCCCAAGCCCAGACCTCCCACACTCACACACATAAATACCCACGTGATATCACCACATGGCTAACAGTCATCCCAAACTCAACTTGCCTAATATCAAGCTTCCCATTTTCCCTCACAGCTGCTCTGCTTCTAGTATTGTCCATCTCAGTTCAGAACAACTCTATCTTTCCAGCTGGTGGATCCTTAAAGCCACTTGTGGGTCCTTTCTGACTCATCAGCAAATCCTCCAAAATAGGTCTGGTTCTATCTTCCAAATATATTCAGAAACTAACCACTTACTGCTGTTTCTATAGCTACTCTCCTGGTCCAAACCACCATCACCTCTCATCTACAGGATCTAAATTATTCAGCAGCCTCTTAGCCAGTCTGCCCTGGTTCCCCTTCAGTCTGTCTTCAACCCAGGAGCCACAGTGATGTTAAAATGTTAAGTCAGGTCTCATCAATTATCTATTTGAAGCCTTCCCTGGCTTCTCATCCTCCTGAGGAAATCATGCTGGCCCAGCGGCCCTCAGACTCCAGCCTGACCTCCCACTTCCCACCTGGCCTTGGCTGGCTGGCCCAACCACCCACTTCCTCCATCTGGGAGGGGCTTCCCACAGCCCCCTCCCGGGTTCCCCCCTCGCTTCCCTCAGGGCCTGACTTGGATGCCATTCTCGCCCCTCTGGAAAGGCTCCCCGCAGGCAGCCTGCCCCCTGCCTCGCTCACCCCATCGTGTTGAAGTCGTCATCGGGGGGCACGTAGTCCTCGTCGTCACTGGTCAGGCCCAGCTCGTTCCCGTAGCACTGGTGGACGAAGTGCCAGAGCTCCTTGGGGCACAGCGGCTGCAGGGGACAGCAGAGAGGCTCGACCCTCCCTTCCTCGGGACCCCACTCTCCACAGAGGCACTGAGGTCGCTGGACTCCCTCGAGGGATGAGAAGCCAAGCTCCACCCTCCTTGGCTGGACAAGTGGAGAGCGGCAGCTCCATGACAATCCCACCCCTGCCTTGCCCTCTGCTCCAGATCTGTTTTTCCCCTAAGAACACGGCTTTTAGCAAAGCCAGGAAATTTGACCTGTTCCCTCAACTCAGGTTTGCACAGTAGGACCGATGGGCCCTTGAACTGCCTGCCTCCTGCTCCTGCAGGTGAAGCCCGGCATTAAGCAGCATAAACCAAGGTACTCTGGGGCCAGAATGATCACAGAGCTTCTGAGCTGGACTCATAATGAGTCAGCTTTGAGTCAGTCTCCCCGACTCATCAGGAATCTCCCGATAGTAATAGTGGCCTCACAGGCCCCAATGGATCAGATCCAGGAATGAGGTGTGACACCTCCAAGGTGGCCCATTCCTCAGCTGGGCAGTTCCTGTGCTTGGAAAGAAGCTGACATTCTCACAGCTTCAGGGGCCTCAAAGGTCACTGTATCCAACTCTCACTTCGCTGTCTGTGATTTATCCTTAATCACAATCAGTTTGCCTACAGGTCTGTGTAATAGTTCCATATAAAGTTTTTCTCATTTCACTGGATGTCTACATATTCTTCTCAAAAGCACTGTCCTAAGAAAGGTTAAATCTCACTGAGGTTCAGAGTTTCAGGTAAGAGGCAACAGAATGTTAAAGAATGAAGGTCAAAGGTGGAGATCATGGATGAGTCCTGGGTTGGGGGGAGGGAGAGACATTGGGAAGGATACATATGTGAAAAAGAGAAATGTTAAGAATAACAGAAGCAGTAAAGAATGTTCCCACCAACAGACCTGATAAGGAATTTGAGCCTTCTTTTGATGCCACCCTTCTAAGGTATGGGCTTCCCTCATAGCTCAGTAGGTGAAGAATCTACCTGCAATGCAGGAGACCCAGGTTCAATTCCTGGGTTGGGAAGATCCCCTGGAGAAGGAAATGGCAACTCACTGCAGTATTCTTGCCTGGAGAATCCCATGGACAGAGAAGCCTGGAATCCTTGGGGTCACAAGAGTCGGACACGACTTAGTAACTAAACCACCACCAGTTTTAAGGTACAGTTTAAGAAGCAGGCAGCTGGCAGGATGCCATGAGCCAGGGTTTTAGGTTCCCAGTGGAGAAATGCTCAGAATAGCAGAGTCAGAGTTCTCTCTGAGCCAGCAAGGTCCAGGGTGTGTGTGTGTGTGTTGGGGGGTAGCTCTCTGTGTTGGCTCTCCCAGTGTGTGTGTGTGTGTGTGTGTGTGTGTTGGGGGGTAGCTCTCTGTGTTGGCTCTCCCAATCCCAGAGGAAGGCACTTGCTTCTCCTGTATCTGGACCTCCTCCCTCCAGCTGTCATGGAGGCCATCCGCCGTGCCTCCCTGCGGGACCACGCCCTCCCCTTCCTCACAGATGGCCTTCCCCACGCAGCCTTCCCTGACTGAGTCCACCGGGCTCAGCTGGTCTGACCACAGCTGGGACAAGCACAGTTGGCAGATTCTGCACATCAGGCGGAATTCTTGATTATTTTGTGAGAGTTTTTGCAAACCATATGGATGACCCTCTGTCTTAGAAATGACAGTGGTTGTGAGCTGAAAATTCAAACCTGCCAGTGGAGACCCAAACATAATATCATTTTGCCACTATCTGTGGCTGATAAAGGTTAATGATCAACTCCAGTTATCAGAATTTACACAAGGGCTACAGACTTTCAGGTTAGAAGAAGCTCTAAATAACACATCTGTTCAATTTCCTTTAGATGATGGTAAGTTTGGGCTAGAGTCAAGGTAGATACACACATTATACCTAACTATATACATGTCATATATATAATTGGAATTATTATATAATCATAGAATTTCCCCCCTAGGTCTCTTCCTCTGGCAGGGAGGCTGTTTCTTAACCCCCCACTTTGGCATCTGCATGGGAATTCTCTATCACCTTCAGCCACGTCTCCTTCATCTGCATCTCCCACAAAGCCCCCTTCACTCAGGTGGTCAACTTGTGGCTATATTAACTCTACTTTCCTACTTTCTGTATTTTTTAAAAAAGGCTTATTTTATTGAAGTATAGTTGACTCATAATATTGTGTTTATTTCTGCTGTTCAGCAAAGTGATTCACATATACATATATATCAATATATTCTTTTTCATATTCTTTTCCAGCTTGGTTTATCAGAGGATATTCAATAGAGTTCCCTGTGCTATACAGTAGGACCTTGTTGTTGATCCATTCTATATATATGATACTTTGCATTTGCTAATCATAAACTCCCAATCCTATTTTCTGTGTTTTTCATGTTCTGACATCTAAGGCCTTGCTGACTGTGGAGGGCCTGCCCCTTGCAGGATGAGCTAATTTCTACAGATAAAAATCACCCCATGAGGAAAAACACCTTTTCTAGGTAAAGCCTCCAAGCCAAAGCCCACACCCCCAAGGACCTCCCTTTTCTAGCTCTTACACTCCAGGCCAATTCTCTCTTGCACTAATTATCCCTGGACAGTCTCTCTGGAGAGAAGTCTCTCTACCCTGAAGCCTGACGAAACATTCAAACTAGCCAGTCCTAAACCTGCTTGGGCTTCCCAGGTGGCTCGGTGGTAAAGAATCCACCCGCCAATGCAGGAGATTCACATTTGATCCCTGGATCAAGATGATCCCCTGGAAAGGGAAGTGGCAAACCACTCCAAGATTCTTGCCTGGGAAACTCCATGGACAGAGGGGCCTGGTGGGCTACAGTCCATGAGGCTGCAAAAGAGTCGGATATAACTGGGAGACTAAGCAACAGCAACACTCATTTGTCCCTGTGAAATGAAGGCTCTTATTCTGCTGTCCCCTTGCTCTCTCTGCCTCCTGATTAACCTGGAGCTTCCTGTATGGTATGCTGGGCCTCTGCTCCAGAGATCTGTGAGTATAAAAACCTCTTCCTCATGACAGTTATTCCTGTGTCTGTGTGTTTTACCACACCTGATTGAAACAAACCCCAGTACATTTTAAAACAGCAGAACTGAGTGTCCTAAGTCAACAGGGCCTCACTCCAGGCAGCCAGGAGGTTGTTCACTTAAGAGGACATGCTACTCTCAGCACCTGAGTCACCAGGGCTCTTGATCCTGTAATGCCTGAGTCGAAGGGCATTGTAGACCTGTGTTCAGTCCATCTTTAGCCCTGAAAGTATCAGTCTTCAGGGCCTGGTTAAAGGTCAAAGATCACAGTGCTTTCTCCACTCTAGATTTTATCTACCACATCTTCTCCATGGCAACAATATAGACAATATGTTTCCTATCAGACGCCTCACTTCTTTTGATGAGCTGTCCTGATACATAATGACACAACTTAACATTGTTTAGACCTTTACAATTTAGCATTATTGCATACCTGGAGGAATTCCAGAACCAGGGGGGAAGCAGGGGCTTCCTAGGAGTAGGCCAACGCTGCAGCAAGAGCAGTCACCTCAGTGGCCCCCACCAAGCGGCAGGGACATTCTAGTGCGTGTGCATCCTGAGGCTGAGGAAGGAGCTGGGCAGGACTTACCTTTTCCAGGAGAGCATTCTGCCAGAGCCGGAACATCATCATGTACGTCCTATCCCGGGCTCCGAACGAAGTGAAAAAGTGCTGGATTGAAAGAGAAAATGGCAAGAAATGTCTGTGAAGACTTACAAAATAATGGATAGAGACATGGGACTCCTTCCTTTAAAAAAGCTACCGAGGGATCTTCCTGGTGGTCCAGTGGTTAAGACTTCATGCTTCCAACACGGGGGATATGGGTTCGATTCCTGGTCAGGGAACTAAGATCCCACATGCTGTGTGACATGGCCAAAAATTTTTTAAAAAAAAATTAAAAAGCTACTTATTCCATCCTCTACTGCACCCATGAGGACAGCACAGGGCTCTGCAGTGAGAGGTCAGCTTGCTGAGCTACCCACTGTCTTCAAGTCCTTTGCCATGGTCCAGGCACCCGAGATCTCTGAGTCACCCACTGTCTCTGAGTCCTTCAATGTTCATCCAACCTTGCTCAGTGCTTCTCTTTCTGGTTTGAAGTTTTCACCTCCATAAAAAGCTTCCTTTGCCTCCGTACATAGACTGGTAAGTGGTGAGCTGGGAACCAGCCCAAAGGAAGAAGGTAAACCCACTAGTTACCCTTTGATTCATTAATTCAGCAAACACTTGAATATCAGTGTGTGCCCTCTTCTACATGAACATACACTAATGCATGTGCAAACACTTTTCTACATATTTTGAGCTCAATAACAAAACAGAAAGAAACTGTTGCTCTTAAGAAGCCTACACATTTGTGGGGATCTTTTATAATATGCGGGAAGAATGCAACAGAAAACCAGATTTTACTGAAGACATTCTAGGTGCTTCACAAATACTATTTCATTTAAACCATGCTAAAGCCTTGGAAAATAAATACAACTGCTAATATTCAATAAAGAGAAATAGGGTGGTGATGGTAGGTGACCCCTGTAATCACAAAGCTGCTTCATGCTAGAAGCAGAACTCAAAGCAAAGACTATCGGACCTTGAGGTCTCAGGGCTCTTGATCCTGTAATGCCTGAGTCGAAGGGCATTGTAGACCTGTGTTCAGTCCATCTTTAGCCCTGAAAGTATCAGTCTTCAGGGCCTGGTTAAAGGTCAAAGATCACAGTGCTTTCTCCACTCTAGATTTTATCTACCACATCTTCTCCGTGGCAACAATATAGACAATATGTTTCCTATCAGACGCCTCACTTCTTTTGATGAGCTGTCCTGATACATAATGACACAACTTGACATTGTTTAGACCTTTACAATTTAGTGTTTTCAGATGTGGGAGGTCATTCCAAGATTCTGACAAATAGGCATCACTGGCTCCATTTCACACGTAAGAAAACTGAGGCTCAGGTTACATAATGCACCTACAGCCACGGGACTCTATTTCAGGTGTTCTGGCTCTAAGTTCAATGTCGTAGCACTCCACTCTCATGACCCTGCTAGACTCTGAGCACCTGCCCACCAGAGAGGTGGTTTCCACAACCCACATCACTTTACCACTTCTCACCCTAATCCTACTGGCTTCTTCATTAATGCAACTAAAGGGTAGGAAGCCAGAAGTACGGGCGCTAGGGTTTGGGGGAGTATTAAGTCCAAGGTCAGACCCTACTTACCTTTTCTGAGTCAGTGCAAACTTGGATGGCATTGGGGATGAGGCGAGCTGTCTTTTCTTTAGTCATGGAGCAGATGTCTTTCAAACGCACAGTCAGCTGGCATTGCACAGAAACAGAAGAGGAAAACAAGCAAGAGGCAGCATTAACAGAGTCAGGGGAACCCATGCACCAGTTCACACAGAGTAAGCAGACCACAGGCTATGTGCTTCTCAACCGCTACAGAACTTCCTCAGAGATCACTTGGTTGAGTGCCTTATTTCAGAGGCTGTAGAGCAAGCCTCATTGGAAGCTCAAGGGTTTCTTGATTCTTGGTCCAGGGAGCTTGCTTTCTCATTTGTATACAGCCTGATAAACATGCACAGATCCCATCACCATCTGCCACTTACAGAAACACAGAACCCTGGCACTGGATGGGACCTTACAGTCACCTATCTAGTCATCATTTCTCACTTTATTTTGTAAGACTAGGAAACAGGCAAATGAAGAATAAAGGACTAGCTTAAAATTGCAGAACCCAGAAAGTATAAGCCAGTTCTGCCGAGTCACAAGGTCAAGGTTCCTCTGACTCTACTATTCTGCTTCTGTGGTGGTGAAAAAGGGATTCATTGGGCCTGGACTCCATCTCAGGCCTGTCCGTGCTGATCGTGCTCGGCCGCCTCTCCAGTGGCCTGAACTCCCTGCTTAGTGCCTGTGGGAATGACAATGGAAGGATAAGACCCCCTCCGGACAGGGGAACCTTGAAGATCATATCCAGGTTACTCATCACCTAAGAGAAAACAGACACTAATCACCCCTCTCTCTGGACAGTATCTATCGGAATGTAACCACAGGCTTATAGGTTATTAACTGGTTGGAATGTAACCGTGGGCTTATTAACTGTTTGAACACATAACATGTGAATGATGGGGTTATTGTAGTTGTATTTACCCTTCCTTTGTTTATGTAAGTTTCAAGGAATTTGGGGTGGTGGGTTTGGACACGTACACATGGGGTATAAAAGATTTTCACAAATGCTGGTTGGGGTCCTTGGCTAAGAGGAGACTCTGCCTTGGGCCCACCGGTGTAATAAACTGCACTCCACTATCTGCATTGTCCTTCTGAGTGAGTTTGTTTCCCGGAGAGCGTGGCTATAAGAGTGGTGGAGGTGGTTTAGTCACTCAGTCATGCCCAACTCTTGTGACCCCATGGACTGTATAGCCTTCCAGGCTCCTCCATCCATGGGATTTCCCAGGCAAGAATACTGGAGTGGGTTGTTACTTCCTTCTCTTGGGGATCTTTCCTATCCAGGGATCAAATCCACATCTCTTGTATTGCAGGTGTTTTGTTTTTTTTTTTTTTTTTTTACCACTGAGCCAACCAGGGAAGCACAAATATTTACCTGCACTTGCCCAAAATCAGATGGTCTTCACACTCTTTACCATACCCAAGAAGGAGGGAAGAGGGGAAGGCATGGTAGAGAAACCTATCCTTCAAGACTCCGGCACGTGCTTTTGTGAATTATGCAAAGGCTTGGGTAGAGCACGAAGTTGATCAAAGAACAAAAGTGGAGGCCGCTTCCTCAGCCACAGCCCAGGGGACAGCCTCAGGGAGCAAGTCTCAGGTTGGTTTGTTTGTTTTCTTTATTTAGTTTTTGGCCATGCAGCTAGTGGGAGCTTAGTTCCCTGACCAGGGATCGAACCCATGCACCCCAGCGATGGAGGCTCGGAGTCCTAACCCACTGGACCACCAGGGAAGCCCCAATCTTTACCAGAGTTTCCCAGCGGAAGATGTTGCTGTAGAAGCAGATCCAGTTTTCGGAGAGGTAGAGTCGGCCCTGAAGAAGAATGTCTCTTTGGAGCGCACACGAGTAGTCTGCAGTAGAATGGGGGATGGAGCTCAGGGATGCGGGCCTTCTCAGCGAACCGCGACAACTGAACAAGGCACTGCACCCCCTTCCCCGCGCCAGGGAGCCCAGCTGCCCACCACAGACGAGGTGTGAGAGATACCAGCCTAGTGATCCAGGGGGTCCCTAGCAGCTCCAGATTGGGAACATGAAGGGTGTGGAACACGCTACTGCCTGGAGGCAGAGGCACGGATGAGACCGCAGAGGAAGCAAGAACATTAGAGGCAGAAAGGCCAATACAATTCAGCTAATGCCACTCCCCCCTCCAGTCCCCCGCTGGGCCATCTGCAGACCCAAGAGTGGCAGGCCCCAGGCGGGGCTCTCTGGAGGCCATCACACACAGGGGGCTCAGCCCTGAGCCCCCATCACTGGGTCGGCACTCTGGATGTTTCCTCTCCCCGTTCCCAGACAGACGCTCTCACTTGGGAACCCTCTGGTCAGAGAAGCAGCCTTCCTTCCTTCCTGCCCCCACACACCCAGGTCACCCCGCTCACCAACAATGAGGCGCTCCGTGTCTGGAAGTTGCTTAAAGAGCTTTCTGAAGTCTTCATTTCTCTGCTTGTATGTGGGGCTTAACACCTGAGTGACAATGGCCAAGGTTAGTGGGATGCTGCTAGGTTCATGGGCTGGGGAGGAAGGTGCAGGAGGAGAGCCTGTTTGCATATTTCAAGGCAAAGCTGAGGTTCCAGTTAAGGCAGAGACCCCAGGAGGCCAGGCTAGGCAAAGGGGGCTCAGTGTGGAAAAACATGGTGGAGAGAATTTGAAGCTGCCAAGGGCTTTGTACCCAGTGTTACCCAGTGTCCATCAGTGAGAAAATGTCAGCCCTACTAAGCAGGGCTCACATAACTACATCCCAAGTGGAGAAAGGAAGAGGGGGACTGCTCCGGGGTATTGCTGTCCTGCCTTCCACGAGCAGGAAGCACCAGCTGACAGTGAAGTAGGGGCCCAAGGGGACCCCTGATCCCCACAGCAGGACCCAGGATACATGATGGTGCCCAGTGCAGCTCTCAGCTGTCATCATGAGTAATATAAGCACTTGGCTGTGTCTGAAATTTATGACAGAAGAATAAAAAAAATCACAAAACGTAAGACCAGTACAATGTTATGTCAATTATATTGCAATAAAACTGGTGTGGAAAAAAAAAAAAAACTGGTGTGGGGAGGGGCAGAATTGGCCTGATTTTTAAAAACCCATAAAACTAGTACTGATAAAAGCACACAAATTGAGAATTAAAAGCCTAACTGGCAACTTGAGGTACTGAAACTTCATTTGCTCACCATCGCTTACAAGACTATCTAATCCAACTCTTTCATGCTACCATCAAGGAAACTAAGCTCAGACAGTGGTCCCTGCCCAAGGTCCCCTGGCCGCTCAGGAGCAAATCTCTGGATCCCTGGTTCCGAGCTCACCTCCCACCACCACCTGAGCTGCCAGACATCCCTGCATCCACCAACCTCTTTGGTGCCTCAATGCAAACTCCTAACGATTTACTGCCTCGGCGAATCCTTCTAGGAAATCCCATAAACCAGTTGATCAGATAGGAATTCTGCTCTTTCCAAGCTTACAATCGTGTGCCCGTAGATGAAAGGAACCCAAGGATGATACACGAAGACAAATGCACAACCCGGGAAGGGTAAGGGATCATGATACAGACCATCTGAGCTCCACTCAGGTGACCTGTTGACCTACTTATGTCAGGAGCACATAAAGGTAGGCAGACTGTTTCGTATCGCTGACTGACGCGTCTTGGCCATTTACACTTTCTCACCCACTTCCCTGGGAATCCACTAGCTGTGGCAACAATGGAGTGAGCTTCACAGCTAGTTTTTTGGCTTTTTGCAGAACTAACAGCCTGTAGCCAGGCCACCCTGGCAGCAGGTTCTGACTACCTCAGCTCAGCTGACCACCTGTGCCAGAGAGAAGAGGAGGATTTTAGGAAGCTGGAGGAGAGAACAGCACGACTTCAGTTTGGGAAGGTTTTCCACATGAGAGAAGACAGTGCTTTCAACCACTTTGCCCATAGTTCATTTGAAATTTAAACTTCTGTTTTGGCTCATTTATAAAATGAGTTGTATTTCCAGGAGGATCCTCTGTTACTTTCCCCAAAGCAATGATGTGCTGTAGAATCCCAAACTTCCAAGAATCAGGATCACTCATTGGGAGGGAAAGTCTGGAAGCCAGCCTGCCCCGTAACTTCGACAGCTAGAAAAGACCTCAGAAGACAACACTCCTCTGACCTACATGTTAGTTTCAAAACGATACAGAGATATCCAACCTCAGTGTGAGGCTCCCTGGCCTCACAGAACAAGAGTCCACACGTTGAAAACCCTTGCCTGACCACCTGTCTAGAAGTTCCTGACCGACCTCATAGAGCTAACACGGAGTGAGGAATGACCATGCATCAAGCACTGTCCTAAGTCCTTTCACATCCTTTCGTCTGACTGCAGGGTCATTTTTATTATCCCATTTTAGACTCGAGGAAACTGAGGCACAGAGTTTAAGCAACTTGCCGAGGCACATGGTTACAAATGAGAGTGTAACCATGTTATTAGCACAGTGTGGTCCACAGTTCCTGGTCTGAGCCATCACTCGGCACAGGCTTGGGGTCCTTGAGCCAAGAAGGGAGCCACCGGGAAGCCCCAGCAGAGAACAACCTCTTGGTGATGAGATAGTAACTTATGTGGAGGTCCCCACTAGCCTTCCATGCCTGCAAGTGGATCTTTTTTTTGGGGGGGGGTATAGTTTCAATTTTGCAAGTTCCAGAAATTTTACGTACAACAATGTGAACCTACTTAACACTACTGCAATATACATTTAGAAATACCTAAGATGGTAAACTTTGTGTTACATGTATTTTACCACAATTTATTTGTGTGTGTGTGTGTGTGTGTGTGTGTGTGTGTGTGTTTGCCACACCATGAAGCCTGCAGGATCTTAGTCCTGACCAGGGATCGAACCTGGAGCCCTGGCAGTGAAAGCACTGTCTCTAACCACTGGACTGGCAGGGAACTCTCACAATTAAAAAAAACAAAACAAAAACTATTTGTCAAGTCAGTCTTTATATTTACAAAGTTCCCATACAGCCTGAGGATGAGCCTACCAGATGGCCCCAAATCCCCCTCAGTTGAAACTGAACATCAGACATGCAGTTACCCCAGCCTGGAAGTCCTCCCGTTTCTAACACTCGCCACGGTGCTGTCACCCCTGCTTCTTTCACATCCAGTGAGGACTCAGATATCAACAGAGATGCAGGTGCAGGGAGCCGGGCCCTAATCTCCAAACCAGAGGCAAACTGAGGGAGACACCCTCTCCCCTCCTCTCCTCAAACACAGCCCTGGCTGTTAGGAGGGGAGGGCCCATCCAGCCCTGATCTTGGAGGTCAGCCAGTTCTGCGAGGGCTTCCTGGGGTGTAGGAACCCCTTAACCCAGGCCTGCAAATCAGTGGCCTGATCCGAGCAGGCTGCCAGCGTGGAAGGCAGGCCAGCTAGCCTCCCAGGGTCTAAAGTACAGAGATACAAGTCGGCTGCCACCAGCTACCTTATTGACGTGGGAGACGATGACCCACTCTCCCTGCCGTCCTTGTGCCGTTAAAGCCATCTCCTCCCACAGAAGAAGCAAGGCTCATGTGTTTTCATTTTAAACAGCCAAAGAATTTTGGTCCAAGGATTGTCAAACCCGGGGCCCCCAGAGCACAGAGAAGCGAGGACATGCACTCACGGCGGGGATCTCCTCAGACCCGGGCCGGCAGCAGAAGTCTGCACCGGCAGGTCCCTCTGTCAGCTTCTCCAGGTGCTGCTGCAAAGGCTGGCTGTCCTGCTCCAGCAGGAGGCTCCAGAGGACCCCCGATTCCGTCAGAGATTCCATCGCTCCCACAGGCTGCCTCCCCACCGGACGCTGATCCTCAAGCTCAGATCCTTCACCGTGCCCCCAGGGTGCAGTCAGTCAGTCTCGCCCGGGCTGGACGTGGACGGGCGGCTTCGGGCTCCTCAGCAGAGGGTCTGTGTGAGCCTCAATACCTCCTTGGCTCCCCTTGAGCCTGGTTCCCAGCGCCAAGCTTCACAACGGGGCGGGTGTGGTCAGCATGGTTCTCGGGACAGGCTGGTTGGCCAGCCTCCCGGGGCCGGGTTCTGTTTCACCCCACTTGGCTCCCAGCGCGGCAGGTCTCTGGGCTGAGGGTGACCCAGAGGGGATGTGATGAAGCCCCTTCTCCAGGTCGTGTGGACAGCTGCTCCGAGCGGCCAGGACGCAGACGACGGGGCAGGTGCACGGGGCCGCCAGAGGCCCGCCCTGCCGCGGCTCACTCACAGCCCGGTGGCTCGTGGCAGGTCTCAAGCTCCCAGGAGGATGGATGCCCAACGCCCCAGTGCCGTCTGGCCGGTCCCACAAGGCAGCCCGTTCGACGTGCAATCGCTCCCCTGGGCGGGCGCTGGTGGCTATGACTCACGGTCCTCACCCAGGCAGCGTGGCCACCGCTGGCCAAGGCACCGGGGCCTGCTCCCACCCCTACCCGTACACAGCCCCCTTTCCTCCCAGGCCGAGCTCCTCTCGGCTGACCAGCAAACAACTTCTTTGTTAAGAGTCATCCGTGGCAGGAGGGAGGGGGGCGGCTGGGCGGGCAGGGCCAGAGCCCTACACATGCCTCAAGTTACAGGACCTGGGTGACGGTACCGGCCAACGTCCTGCAGTAACCCCCGGCCGAGCCTGGCCTCCCCAGCAGATGTTTCCTGCAATGGAAAGTAGCTGGCCAAGGCTCCGAGTGGGGGAAGGGCCGGGAGGAGGTGCCAGGGGCACTGCTGTTATGCTGAAATCTAAAATTGAAGACGCAAAACAGCCAGGGACGTCTTGGAGACACACTCGCCCCTCACTGATCCATCCATCCATCGACCTCCCCAGAGTAGCAGCAGGAGGCTGGAAGTTGAACTCATCCCATTTCAGAGGTGCAGGTTGGGAGAAGTTGAGGTCAGCAGTTTCCAGGTCCGTCTGAGGCATCTCCTTCCTTCCCGGGGACACTGTCCTGCCTCCAGTTCTAGCAGGATGGGGATCAAGGCCAGGATGAGGATTCCCAGACAGCCGCTCAGACCCTGGCGGCCAAGGAGCCATGCTCTGAGCAGAGAGACTGGGCCAGGTCAATAGGAGCAGGGAAGCTGAGATCTTTGGTGAGAACAGGAGCCAGGCTGATGGGAACAAGGAGGCCTCCAGAAAGAGAAGCTGGGGGCAGAGGTCAGACAGCACTGGGGCCGGGAAGGTTGGATTCCCAGGAAACGTCAGAACTTTTGAGACAAACTGGGCACCTTCCTCGACCTTCCCAGCTACGTCCACCTTGCCAGGAGGGTCTCCAGGCTGCACACAATGGAGAACATTGCCTTTGTCCTATTTGGAGCAGTAACATTCAGACCTGACTGTACTTAAAAATGATCTAAGAAATGTATGCAAGATACAGATTCTTGCCTCTAGATCCCCAAATTCTGATTCAGAGGAACTTGGCGTCTCTCAGTTATATGGTGCTGGAAGAAGCAGAGGAAGATTCTGAGTCCTTTCCAGGACTTGTGTTCCTATGTGTCTCTGTCCACACCCCGGATGCAGCCACCACCTCCACCCATCATATCACAGAGGCTACCACTGTCTCCAGGAACACGCTATACCTCAATCAATCTCCTCCAGCACTCAGTAGGGTGAATTTCAAGTATCAGCTGCTCAACACCTATTTACCAAATGAACGCATTCCTTATACACCTCTGACACTGTTCCTGTTGACATGGCATCTCGTGTGCACACATCCTTACACGTCCTCACTCCTATAGGCATGGCACCCCAGCGCCTAGTCTATGCCAACACTCTCCAAGCCACATATCCTAGCTTCTCTCCATGCTATCATCAGCAGTGGGACAGGAGAACCCAGCAATTCCACTTCACAGGGTGATGGGAATGCCCCTCTCCTGGGCCACCCCAGATTCGACGATCTAGGCAGTAACCAGGACCCATGAGGGCTGAATCCTGGAAACAGAGTATCTCTGGAGCCAGATGAGGGGATGACTGGGCTCCAGTGGGGTGACTCAGGGACAGGACACACCCAGAAAGATAAGCCCTGGGACCCTTTGTCTCCTACAACCCCCTCCTCCCAACTGCCACGGGGAGAGGCACTGCCAGCTTCCAACCTGAGGAGAGGGAAGTGACCTGGGCTAAACATTAACTCGACAGCAAACACTGGGAGCTGGGACAAAGTGGTACCCGCTCCCTGGGCAGAGCAGCAGGAGGGAGAGGGTGGAGGAGCCCAGGAGAAAAACAGATGGATTTTGTTAGAATGTTGGCCTCACCGAGGAAGAAAGCCAGTTAAGACCCTCAGAGGAAATGCTGGACTTTCAACCAAATCCAGGTAGGGAGGAGCCGGATGTGGGTTATGGGGCAGTGGCGATGGGAGAGGTGACTGAGCAAAGGAAGGAGGAGGGGAGGGTGAAGGTGTAACAGAGACACAGAGGAGCAGGACTGGGAGAGGTCTCAGTTGGAGACGGGTCACTCCGCAGAGTCAAGACGGCTACTGGGCATGCGGGGGTCAGTGGGTAGATAACAGTGGGGAGATGAATGCAGGTGGAGGAAGCGGAGTCCATCTCCCCCAGAAAAAAATACCAGGCTGCCAAGGGGTCCTTGGGGATGCCTTCAGCTCTCACTCTCACTTTTCTCACCAAAGCCCTAATCCGAGTTTCATTCCGACAAAGCTCTGTCCTCTTGCTCAGTCATATGTCTGCCAGACCTGCCCAGTGACTTCACAGGACTGGTGCCATCCCTACCCCCAGACAGCCAGCATCGCCCCCACCTGGACCAGCAGGCAACTTGGGCCCCAAAGCCTCAGGGCAGCCACCAGAGGTCTGGGCTCCTTCCCTGGGTTGCCTGGAGACAACTGATCCCAGGAAAGAGGCAAGGCAGGTGAGGAAGCATCTCTGTCCACCTGGAGCATCAGGAAGAGACTTCTGTGACTTGGCTTCCTCCAAGATCTGAGTCTGCTGCGTCCAACAGGGCCATCTTTCGGGGGGGCAGATTATTCCCCCTCCTGCTCCCAACTCTCCCCTTCGCTCCCTGTTCAGCTTATCCCTCCGTGAACTTATCCCCGAAACTAGGCGCCTTGACAAATAAAACTGGGGTGGTCAATGGCGGGGCTGGAGGGTGGGGAGGAGAAGGGGGGAACTCAGGGGCAGTAGATGTGATCAGCCCTGGGAGGTACTCAGGGCAGCTGCTGACAGCCTCCCGCTTCAAGCCCCACTCTTTTTGGCCATGCTGCACGGCAGGTGGGATCTTAGTTCCCTGACCAGGTATTGAACCCACACCCCCTGTACTGGGAAGTGTAGAGGTCTAATCACTGGACAGCCAGGGAAGTCCCTCAAACCCCACTCTTGATCTGAAGAGCCCTTGCTGGAGACCAGAGGCTCTTGTCTCAGCCTTTCCATGTCTCCCTGGGGTCCAAACACCTCCTTCCATGGAACCCACTCTTTATAAATGCCAAGGTGGTTTGTCACCATGGTGACAGTTCCTCCCTGGCTAAATAGATAGAAGAAGAAATTCAGAAGAGAAGCAGGTAGAGGCAGAGGCTGGGGCAGGGGGCAGGGAGGCATTGGGTGTGCTTCCTCTCACATCAGACCCAGGCCACGCCAACGGGCTAGAGACGTTCTTGCAGCAGTCGGCAAGTCTGCGCTGACCCTCCCTGTCCTGCATCTGGCAGGCACTCCTAACTGTCTCCAGGGCCAAGGACGACAAGGCCTCTGCTCATCACAAGGACTTCCAGCGCCAACGATGGAGCCACGGGCAGCGCAGCAGCTGGAGAGTCACCACCGGTGTCAGGGGAGGAGCAGGGAGGGCTGAGGCAGACCTGAGGAGGAGACCTCGCCTCCTTCCTGATGGTCCAAGTCCAGCCGCCTCCGGGCAACGCAGAGGTGACGCGGCAGGACTGGGTAGACGGAGGAAAAAGAGCACCGGGTCAGAGCAACAGGGACGCGGCAAGGGCCTCCTGAGAAACCAGGAATGGAACGCTGGGGGGCAGTGCTGGCGAGCGGGTGTTGAAGGGAAGCTTCCTGGTGGGGCCTTGGCATGCAGGCAGGGGGACAGGGCCTGGCACGCCCGTGTGCATGGGCTCAGCAGAATGAGCTCAGGCTCCAGTGGGGGAAGCCCCCAGGACCCGGCTTCCTGATCGAGTCAGACCATCCGGCCTGGGAGCACAGCCACGCTCAGGCCGTGCCCGTGGATAAGCGCACTGGTACCTCGGAGTGGGCTTCCCAGGTGGCTCAGTGGTGAAGAATCTGCCTGCTCAGCTCTGCAACCTCTTGCTCATCTGCCAGCAGAACCCCCTGACCTCCGGGCCCCACAGGGCAGCTGGCCCACCTCCATCATCCAGCCAAGTGGCAGCATCTATTTCTAGCCTCTCGCTCTGCTGAGGGCTCGGACACCAAGTCTTCTGAGCGGGGCGGAGGGAGAGATTAGAGGTGAAAGGGTAGGAGCGGGAAAAACCTGCTAGGATCAGAGAGAAAAGAGCCAGCCAGTCGGGATAACCGAGCCAGAAAGGAGCGGCAAGTGGAGGTGGAGAAATGAAAATGGGGGAGTTAGCCAGGAAAGGGGAGGGAAGGACTCTAGGGAAGGCAACGCAAGAAAGAATGGAAAAGCCTGCTGGAAAGAAGAGAGGAGCAGGGGAGAGGGAGAGCAACAGGGATGAGGCCCTGGTGTCCAAATCCGGTCATTTGAACTGTCTCGTGGGTCTGCAGCCACGTGTCTCCTGGTCCCCTTTGAGGCCCTAATTTTACAATAGCCCCCCACCTCCCACCCCGGGTGGTGGAAGATTCCATGAGGGAAAGGGTGCTGGAGGTCCTACCCACTCCCAGGAAAGCATTCTCCAGCCTCAGCTCCTCCCACAGACAGCGAGCTCCCTTCTCCCCCAGGATGTCAGCCCTAAGCCACGGGGTGGCCACGAGCCCAGGTGAAGACCACAGTGGGCCTGGGGGTTGAGGGGCTGCAGCCTCAGGCAGGCTTCTCCCCCCGGAGGGCCATCTCAGCCCTCAACTCCCCTCCCACCCGCACGGCCCGCCAACTTCCTCCTTGTCTGTGCCGCTGTGATGCCAAGGCGGGGATCCAACAGTCCTATCTCAGGGCCAGTCCCCTGAGCAGCAGCGGGTCGGAAACTACAGGGCTGACTGCTGGCCACTTGATTCTGGGGGAACTGCTGAGCCGTGTGGGAAAACACACCCACCACACACAGTGACTGTGACCGGAGCGTCTACATTAAACCCAAGCCTCTCCCCTCCTCCCCTGCACCAGAGCATCCTCCAAGTCTCTGTCTCAGCCGCCTGCTCCCGCAACGTCCCCAGGTCCACCGTGCAACCTGCCCCCGTGTCAGGGGAGCCTGGAAGATGCGTCCACATGACTGTCGGGGTCAAGCTCTGGGAAGAGCAGGCTCCGGGATGGAAGATGGTGACTGGAGACCAGTTGACGGCTGTGAACCGCCTGTCCGTCCACAGGGCAGGAGCGTGGAGCAGGACGGGGCAGGCGGCTGGGACTGCAGCCTGTGGCTCTTCAGGGTCAAGTTCGAGACCCTCAGCCCCAGCTCTGTGACCCAGAGGATGCGGCCTCTGCAGGGGCGGCTTACTCCATAATTGGCCTCCAGGCAGGAGCTCCTGGCTGCAGCCTCCCCAGGGGCAGGGGATGTGTTCTCGGGGAGCATGCTGGGGGTCAACTGAGGCGGCCCTGGGGCAGAAGTCACATCTTATTACAGAAGCCAGCCTCTGCTAAACGAAAAGGTTTCTGGCTGCTTGTTTTTTCCTCCCAATGTCTTGGTAAAAGGAAGGAAAACTTGGCCTTAAGATTAGGCCCCAGGATGGTGGTCCCCGTCCCAAGTCCTGTCTGCCCTTTGAGGGGGGGGGGGTCTCCCCAGCCTGGTCTCCTGTCAGGGCTGGAGGGCCCTTGTCCAGGGTCCTGGGGGTCCAGGAGGTCGGGTCGGGGAGACAGTCCATCCCTGCATGGTCTCCGGGAATTGCACCCCCCACCCCGCTTCACCAGCAGTCCTGCCCTGCTACAGAAGGTAACTGTGGTCTGGTTTTTGTGGGAGGGGTCTGGTCAGGGGCAAAGCCCACTGTTTGAGGCTCCAAGCCCACAGGGAGACCATAGTGTACCCCCATGACCCCATCCTCTAAGCAAGCCATCCCCAACCACGTGCCCAACAAGAAGAGAAAAGGGATACTTACATTATACCAGCTCTGGCTTTTCTGAAAGAACAAAGTAAAAGAAAAGCAGCGTTAGTGGAGGGAGAGGTGGCAGGAACGGCCGGAGTACTCCTGGCTCCAGGGGGAAGGTACACACACAGCGGAGGGCGGGCAGGGAAGAGGAATCCCAAGGCAGCTCAAGGCCCCCCATGTTGCTGCTCGGGGTGGGGGGCAGGGGTCCTCCTTTCTCAAGACAGCTCCCGAAAGGAGGCCCGGGGAGCAGTCCATGCTGGAAGCCCCCATGGCCGGGGTGGCAGGCAGCGCAGCACCAGCGAGAGCTGGGAGGGAGTCGACCCCATCACAAGGCTCTTCGGATGGGGGCAGGGTATGGGGGGGATGCGCTGCAGGCATCCGAGACCCAGTCCCCAATGGTCCCTGATCAGAAGCAAAGTACCCACGGGGACTCACACAGCCGTCCTCTCCACGTCAGCCCCTTGGGAAGGCTGGACGGGACCCTCTGGGGTCGGGGAGCCAAGGGATCGCTAGAAACTTCCCTCCAACTGGGCAAATTCCTCCTTCCACCCCACTGGCTGATCGTCAAAGAGATAGTGGCCAAGGAGTAGTTGGGGCTCCGCCTTGGGAGGACGGGTGAAGCACGTAATTGCTAAAGGTCCTTCCTGACTTCATGAGGCTCTAAGTCAATACCAATACAATGGTTCTGACCCAACTCCACCATGCAGGTGTCCTCCATTCCCAGTCCTGCTAGAAGGCTGCTCATCTTCGCAGTAATGGGAAGTTTTTTTAGGGAAAGAGGAGGGATGAGTAAGATTGTGCCTGGTCCATCTTCCATCTCACAGGCCAGGAGTCCCTCACACACGTCCCACTTGAAGACAGACAGACAGGCAGACAGAGATAGACAGACACACACCTGCCTAGGCCCCCTGCCTTGAGGGGCTGATCTGACAGGTTCAGCTTGGGTCGACAGGAGTATTTTTCAGTTTTAAAAGCTTTGCCAAGGGTGTGGTTCAGGAGGAGGATGGCTGGGTGCAAAGAAGCTTTGCCCACGGGTCCACATCTTAACTTTATACACATTTTGTTTTATTGCACTTTGAAGATAGTGCATTTTTTTTAAAAACAAATTGAAGGTTTATGGCAGTCCCATGTCAAGCAAGTCTATTGATGTCATTTTGCCTACAGCATTACATTTTAATTAACATTTTATTTTAAATTATAATTTAATGTACACTGCTATTTTAAACAGAATGCTATTGTATACTTGACAGACTGAGGTCCAGGGTAAACATAACTTTTATACACACTGGGAAATGAAAAAAGCCACATGACTTGCTGCACTGTAACCTTTGCTTCACTGTGATGGTCCCTCCACAGTACGGCTGTGCATGCAGAGGTGTGGACCCTGGGTACAGTTAGCAACCTTTATCCCGTCCACCTAGTCCTATGGGGTCTGACTCATAAGGGAAGGAGGAGGCAGCCATTGTCCCAGGAGGTCTGTTGTCCAGTGTCTGGTGGAGCCCGGGGTGAGTGTGACTGCAGAGATGAAGCCTGGTCATGCCATCGCCCCCTTTACTGGTGACCCCATCCTGCCAGAAGAACCCCGTAGAGCCCTTCACCTTCACTCTGAAGAGTGTCGGCAGGGGAAGGAGAGGCACTGCGAGGGTGCTGCCTCTCAGGGGCTCAGCTCATCCGCACACGCTATCTCACTTGCCAGGGGGCAGGCGGCAGGGCAGGATCTCAACCCTCTTCTCTCTGCAGGATGCTCTCCGTGGTCATTTTCCAACAAAAGCTGTCCCCATGGCCCCATCTGGGAGTCACATATTCCCACTACAGCCTTGCCTTCTCCTCCAACCCAAGTCCAAATGTTCAAAACCAAATGATTCCATCATTGAGGGCGTTATTGTCACAAGGGGACTGTGGACTGGAAATTAGCCTCTAGTCAATCTGGAGGAGAGAGGATGGGGCAAGGAGGCTGTGTCAGACTTTACCTGCACCTTGTTGTTGCCTAGTTGCTAAGTCATGCCCAACTCTTTGTGACCCCATGGACTGGAGCTCACCAGGCTCCTCTGTCCATGGGATTTCCCAGGCAAGAATACTGGAGTGGGTTGCCATTTCCTTCTCCAGGGGATCTTCCAGGCCCAGGGACTGAACCATGTCTTCTGCACTGCTGGTGGATTCTTTACCACTGAGCCACCAGGGAAGCCCGACCTGCACCTTAGGACACCAAAATCCCTGGGTCCTGGTTCTGAGCTCACACAGCATGCGGCTGTGCAGTGTCCATGAGAACGCCTCTCAACAGTAGAAAGGCACGCTCTAGGAGCCGCTGACCTCAACTGCCCGCAGTGTGCCTGCGTTTCACCAAACCAACCCTTCTGAACCTGTCTAGAACAGGGAGATTCAGGACAACTGAGAGCCTGCACCAGGGAAGCCGGGCCCCTCTCTTGCCTCGCTGGGTGGTACCTCTGTATGTGTTACCTGCTTGTGTAAACTGGGGTTAAGAATATGGGTTCACAGGTACTGCCTGGTCAGATACACAGAGCAAGGACTTTTGTCCCTCTGTCTAAGCCTCTGCCCCCATCCAGCACTCTCTGGGCAGCTGGTTACCCGTCACCACTTAGGGTGTCCACCCCTCTGGCCAAATCCACAGCAGCCCCTGAGAACAAGCCACGTGGGCGTGAGTCCCTGAACTCCCATCAGCCTCGCAGAGGCAAGTCCAAGCCCTGTGGCTCTGCTTTTGAGGACCGATTCCTAAAGGAGCTGCTGGGCCAGGGGGCCCTGACTCACAGGGGCCGGTGGGCCTGGAGGGTGTCCTCTGGAACCCATGAGGCCACTGGCCAGCAGGTTCTCAGCTCCCCTGTCCTCCTGTGCAGAGAAGGCTGGGGGCGGGGGAAGAACAGGATGAGGGAGTGGGCAAGGGCTTTCTAACAGGTTACCTATGAGTGGATTTAGCCAGAAGGGGAGGAGGGGACATCAGGAGAACTGCCCAAAGACAGCTGCTGGGTGAGGGCTGAGCTGAGCAGGCTTCTATGCTTTTCCTAGAAGTCTGCAGAGCAAGCCCCTGGGGGACCCCAAGGCCCCTGGAAACAGCGACTTCCTTACACATCTCCCCAGTGCAAAGGCCCAGGAGTCTGGAGATGGGATGAGGGCAGGGGAGGGACAGAGGAGCGCTACAGTTCTAGGAGTAGGGAGGAAAGAACAATTTCTTACTTTGATCAGGTAAAGTCTGTCGTACTGGAAAGGAAACCACGAAAATTAGGATCGAAAAACAGGGCAAGAGTCAAAAGGTTAAGGCACACCAGAGCCACAGAGCCCGTGACACCGCACACCCAGCGCAGGGAGCCAAGCAGGGACGGCCTGGGTCCTACCAACAGCCCGGTACCCAGTTCAGGAGCTGGTGGGGCGGCGACGGCTGCGGGGCTCCCCCTGGTGGCCGCAAGCCAGCACTACAGCGCGGAAGCTGGGCGGTGGCGCCAACTAAGGGGTCCTGGATCCGAACCCTGGATCCGAACCCTGGGCCTTGATGTCCAGCCCTGGGCTCCGGGCAGGGCTGCCCCAGCCAGGGTCAGACTTAGGAGGATAGCCACAGAGTCACAGGAGTGAGACCTCCCCGGCTACCTAGTCCAACTGCAACGTATTAACACACAAGGAAATGGGGGTGCGGAGAAGGGGAGACAGACACTGTGAGTGAGGTCTGGATCCAGCGAAAAGTGGAGTATCCAGCCTGTCTGAAGAATGTATGAGGTCATCTCCCCTAAGAGGTGCAGGGGACACAGGGAGCAAGGTGGCCTGGCTGTGAGAACAGTGACCACAGCTCTGGCCGCCAGACCCCTCCCTGTGGACACATGTGGTCAACCTGAGAAAATGCTCCACGGGGGGAGGGGGTGTTCCCACCACAAGACCCTCCTCCTCTCTTTCTCTCCCCCTTGTAGCTTTCCCTCGCTCTCTGCTCCAGGCCCTGTCCTGTGCAGGACATAATTTCTATACCGGTGTCATCTTCGAAGTCTGTCCCAGACTGACCATGGCTGCAACCACGTCCCCCTGGGGCGGCAGGGAGCCCTCTCCCCACAAGTCAGTTCTTGTTAACGGCTGGGGTGTCGGTGATGGAATGGGAAGGGGAGGCAGGGAACTCGCTCCTTCCGCCTTCAGCTCCTCAGCAGGAAAGGGGCCGGGATGCACTCTGGGTCCATGCTCAGATCCCGGTCCCTTCCGAGGCCCCGCTGTGCCCCTCCACAATCCCACTGGGAGTTCCAGCCCAGCTCTGGGCACCAGCTCCCCATCTCAGACGTGAACTCTCCCCTGCCTTCGAATTCACGGAGCATCCCAACGACTCCTGTGGTCCTTAAGGTCAGGTTTGGTTTGTGGATAATCTGGGAACAAACAATGTGGATAATCTGTGTTTCTTATCTCTCTTCTCAGACTGGACACTGCCTGGGGGTGGGAATCTGGTCTTCATATTCCTTTTTGAGAGAAGATCTACCACTTACAAGTTTTAAAAACCCTCATTATCGGATGCTCCTTTCAACCCCATCACCTGACCAGGAGGCACTCTGTGAGTGCTATCGATCATAAGTAAGTGTTCTGCTTGCTAGGTGCCTTGGCACAGGGGTAAGAGGGTGAGGAAGCTCGGAGCTTGACCTTAGGATGGCAAAGGTGCACACCCTGTGGGCAGAGGCAGAGGAACAATAACCAGACACCTTGTCCAGCAACACCTGCCCTCTCCCCAGCCAACGGGGTGAGGCATTCCAGAGGGGTGGACAGCGGTCATCACCAGATGCCATCCATCCCCACACAGCCCTGCACCCACTAAGCTCCCAAACCCACAGCAGACTCCTGGGGGCCTCCCCAATTCAGGCACAGTTTCCCCCTCCTGCCCACAGCCAGCAGCCGTCGTTCAAAATCCTCAGAGCTAAGATGAGCTTTTACCCTCAAGGTCACAGACTGCAGGATTAGCCCTGTAACCTCTCGTTCACCCCTCAGGAAGAGGAACAGCTGTTCATCCTGCTGCTCCCCAAAACAGAGGCTTGGGACTATGATGAAGTTCACCTCTCAGCTCTCTTTTCTCCAGGCTGTAGCCACCCGCTTTCCCTGTGGATATCATTTCCTGAGTCCTGCTGTTCTGAAACACCTACTATTCACCCTCTACTCCCTCTAAGTTCTCCTCAGGCCTCTCAAATCCTGGGGTCCTGGGTAGACTCTTGGCACGGGTTCCCTGACCTGGTCCTATCTATGCAGGACCTGGCAGGGGCTGTCTATGTCCACGACCTTCCGGTGTTGGCACCATGCCCTCTGGGAGAAACATTCCCCTCTGATCACGAGTCAGGATCCTAAGAACACGATGAGCCGCAGGCTGGACTGTGGGCGGAAGCAGTAAGGGGCACTCAGGCTGAGCAAGCGGAAGGAAGGTGTGGCTAAGGTGAGCTCCTAGGGTCGCTCTACTGCATCAGGGAACTCATGTAGGGGAAGCTGTGAGCCTCAATCAACTCACCTGAGCAGCGGGGATCAGGTCCCACTGCTCCACCAGATCCGGAGCCTCCCTTCCCCAAAGGAACGAAAGCCCCGGCAGGACTCTGCTTCTCAACGGCACCATGTAAGGAGGGGACAGACTCCCCGCCGAGGCAGTGTTTGGGGAGCAGGCAGAGACGGGATTAGGGGTGCGGTGGGGAGGGTGGGGGCGGGTCTGTTCTCCGACTCCGGGTGCAGTGGGAATGGTCCCTTGGTGACCTCAGCCAGCCTGCCAGGGGCAGTGGGGCCGGCCCTTCTGGGAAAGGGACCAAGCAAGACACATGGGCCAAACTGGGCAGGGGGTGGGGGGCAGGGTGCGGAGCACTACAGACAGTTCAACACCGGAGGGGAGACCGAAGACAGAGACAAAAGATGGCTTACTTTTGAGAGGCGCTTGTGAGACTAAGACCATGCATGCAAAGAAGGTATTTGGGGGATGGTGGGGAAGAAGAGGAAGAACAAGAAATCAAAAGACAAATTCAGGTGGGACGCCAGCTCCCGAGCCTCCCGGGGTCTCCTCCCCTCCCCAAGGCCTGTGAGTCAAGAGGGAAAGAGAAGCTCTTTTAAGGAGCATAGAGGCAGAGACATCGTCTGCCTCCCAAAGGACTAAAGGCTGGGGCCGACGACTCTTTGTGGAAGCATAAATAGCCCAGGCCCCCTTAGGCAAACGGGGGCTCAGGTGTAACAAGGACATACTCGGGAGGGGTGGACAGCCCTGTTGCTCTCTTGGCCAGGTGGGTACCAGGTGGGTTATTACCAAAGGTAAGGCTGGGTGATGGCCAGGGCCGAGGTTAATACAGCATTCTGCAACGGTCCCTGAGGACTCCCTTCCCGGCACTATATTTGTCCCAAATAATGTTCCCCTCTACGCCAAATTTGGAAAACATAGCAGGGCCGAAGAGACGACCCCTCCTGATCCTCAGAGCTCCCCTCCTCCAAATCTCAAGGCTTGTGAGCCTCCCTCACTGCTAATGAGAGACAGTGGTCATCGTGAAATCCTTTTACTAGCTCCTGGGGCCTCTCTGAGGGCTAAGCTAAGACCAAGATTTAATAGGGGTTCTCCCCTGCCTCCCACTCTCACCTCACAGAACAGAGGCTCTCTCTAGGACACTAGGGCTGGTCAATCACATCAGGTCCCTCCACGAAGGGGTTCTCTACCTCACGGTCCCCCAACGCCAGCCTCCCTGCAGCCAGCTAATTAGCAAGGACAGAGTGGCCGGCGGGGTCAGGCTCACCTTGGAGTTTTTGCCACCACTGCGGCCGGACTGTGAGGAGCAGCTGCGTTGCACGCCCTGCTCCGGGGTGGACGGCGACTTGTCCGAGGAGTGATCTGAGCCCTTCTCCACCATGGTGTCTCCGTCTACGTTCTGCGGGGTTGGCGAGCGAGACCGCTTCCGGAGGATGGGGGAGCAGGCTGGCGTGCTGCGGTTGGAGTTACTGGCAGTGCTGCAGGGGCAGACGGAGAGAGGGAGGGGCAGGAAAGACAAGCCGTGAGTAATTGAGGGCCAAAGACAGGTTCCAAGGAGCCAGCTCTGGGAGCCAGGGTTCTGGGCTGGGGAGAAACAGGGGCGAAAGGGCCCAGCTATGGCCCACCTATGGACTGCACCGTAATACTGCTGCTGGCCAGGAGGGGGCGGTGGTGCCCACGTGAAATGGAAATAGCAGTAGGAAGGGGGTAAATAGGGCGATTAGACATTTTTAGAGATTCGTTCATCCAGCCATCCATCTGTCTGTCCACCAAATTTTGTTAGGACCCACCCTCTCCCCCCATTATATGCCAAGAATTGTCTAGGGAAAACGGAATATAAGAGCTGAGAGACTCAATAGAGATCATATCAGTACTATCAGCTCATTTTACACATGCTGCACAATTCAGGTTCTACATTTTGCCTCAGAGATATCTGCCCATAAAAATAACAAAAATAATCCCACTTTCCAAAGCATTTAAGGAATCATTTCACCAAGGTAGTAATGACAAGTGCCACAATTCCTATTTTTAAAATAAAGATCAGTGCATGGCAAAGAGGACCAAGTGTCCTCTGATCACAGAGGGCTTAGAAACGAAATCTGGGTCTTCTGACTTGTAACTCGCCCACACTTCTATTTCCTTGCAAGCTATGTTATTCCTGCTCCCCTTGCCCAGGGCAAAGGTAAACACAGCGGAAGTTCTCACATGCCATGTCCCCTCCCCCAAATTCATTTCCAACAACTACCTTATACATTCACCAAATCCCCTCATTCCAAGGCTTGTGCACTTTATAAATATTTATCTTGTGTTCTTAAAGGACTAGAGGAGATGAAGGAAGGAAGAGGAGAGGAAAACTTGATGCAGCCAAGTTCTAACAGGTGTTTGCTTTGCTCTGAGAAAATGGAGAAAGGAAAGAGATGGGGAGAGGAAAGGTTATGTAGGGAAGAGAAGGAAAACACAAAAGAGACAGGAAGGCCAAAGAAGCACAAGGGGAGGGGCTGAGAAGAAGTGGGCAGTCAGGGCAGCGTTGGGCTTTGGGCACAGCCAGACCCAGGGCCATCAGGGTCCCAGGAAACACTCTGGGAAGCTATGCCGCCCCGCCCCCGGCCACCACTCCCTAAGCAGGCTGGGAAACTCTGCCATTTGCATCAAGATCCAGCTGCAACCTCAGATGGCCCACTGGACCCATTTGCAATGAAAACCATCCCCCTTGGGCAGAACCTTCCACCTGGGGATCCTAGGCAGAGAGGACAGGAAGTAAGCCCCAAAGCCCAAACCAGCAAGTGTGGGAGGAAGGCAGCAGTGGGGCGAGAGCGAGCCTCTGACTCCTGGAAGGAAGCTGGTGCAGAGAAGAAACAAAAGGAAAAACAAACCACGAGAGGATGTGTGGACACACACGTGGCCCAATGTTGTGCTTTATCCCCAAACAGAATTTGAAACTCGTTACAGTACCAACAACAACAAGATTTACAAGCGGCTCTTCCAGGTCTCACCACATTCCCAACATCCTTATCCTCTACTTCTAAACTCATCCACTATGACAAAACCTGGATAAAGGAAATTATGTTCCTTTCCCTCAACTGGAAAAGCCGAACATTAAAATGGTGGCAAGTGGATTCCTGGACCCATCCAAAGAGCGGACTCAGGTGCTCATCTCCCTGGGGCAGCCCCCTTTCTCTCAAGCCAATTTCAACCCATGGCCAAGTACTCCAGGGCTGACACCATCTCCGAGGACTGCTCTGCTGGAAGAACAGCCAGGAACTCTGCCCCTAACCTCAACCAGTGTGCTCAGAAAAGGACCTAACTAGAGAGTGGATGACACCTTGTGCATGCCCATCTCAGACATGTGAACCCACAGGTGGGCACTTGTCCTTTCCTGAGATAAGGGACATCCTCACACACAGCCATTCCAGCCTTGGGAATAGAAAGGAGGTCCCTTGATCCTTCCTCAAACTCTGCATTCCTGCTGATAAGTGGCTGTTGAGGAAAGATTCAAACAATGGGTGGGCAAAAATTCCCAACCTGGAGGAAATGTACCCCAACTATCCAAAACCTCATGACGCTCAGACACCCAGGATGGACATGTCCATGAGATGTCCTCCACCCTTAGTGATCCCATGTCAGCTGACCCTCCATATGCCACCCAAAGATGTCACTTTCAACACGTCAATCAACAGACAATTTACATGCTCATGTGCCACTTCCGTCTCTGCGCTTATAAGGCTGTTGATCATTTGTGCTGCTCTTGAAAATCTCTCCCCTTCTTCCTGATGACACACATCTGTCTCTTCTATTCCTCTTCCTGTGTCAGCAATGAGTTCCACTCTTGCCTTTTTGCCGATAATTGAGTCCCTCCCCAAAGGTGGGCTCTTCACTGCCCAAGCCATTTCCTGTTTTCTGTGGCTTCAACTATGCCTGGAATCAAAGGACTCTTCTACCTGCTTCTGACCCAAATCATACCTGTTAGCTTCAGCCCAACAACCTTCTGCCAGCATGACAGTTCCTCTAAACAGGTATCTCACGAGCACCTCAGATTCAGAACTGGGCAGGTCATCTCTCCTCCCACTGCCCGGGCTCAATAGCATCACTATTTCCCAGTCTCTCAGGCTGCAAATTCACCCCTTCCATGTCCCCCCCACAAAAAGTGAGTCACTGAATCCCATCAATTCCATTTCCTTAAAGTTCTGTAATGCATCCTTTCCTTCTATTCCCACGGTCCTAGTTCAAGTTCTCAATGCTTTTGCCCTAGAGTTTTGTAATAACCTTCTAAGTGGTTTTCTCCTCGCCTTCCCTCTTTTGTGACCATTCATACCTTTGTCCTTAAAAGTCTTTCTAAATAAAAGCTTGATACTATCTATCTGCCCTCTTACTGACATTCATTTTAAAGTCCTAAATCCTCAGAATGGCATTCAAAGTTCTCTACCAAAAATCCTTTGACAGTTACCTAGGCCTCAATACTTTCTCTTTGTACTCAACGAGTCCCCATTGGACTTCCCTGGTGGTCCAGTGGTTAAGAATCCACCTGCCAATGCAGGGGACATGGATTTGATCCCTGGGCTAGGAAGATTCCACGTGCCTCGAGGCCACTAAGCCCGAGAGAGGCAACTATCGAAACCTGAGCACCTAGAGCCGTGCTCTGCACCAAGAGAAGCCAGAGCAATGAGAAGCCTGCACATCACAATAGAGAGGAGCCCCTGCTTAGGGCAACTAGAGAAAGCCTGAGTGCAGCAACAAAGACCCAGTGCAGCCTGAAAAAAACAAAAGAGTTCCTACCTTCCAGGCCTGCTTATCCACCCCCCAGCATGCATCCTCTTTCTGACTCCCTAAGTGTTCACCACTTGTGCGGGAAGCACACTCTCCCTTCACATCTACCCAACTGAGTCCCACTCATCCTTTCGGACCCAATTCAACTCCACCTTCTCCAAAAGGCTTTTCTAAATCTCCCCCATTGAACTGACCAAAGCACTGGTCACACTCTGCCTGGTGTTAAAGTGAAGACCTGCCCACTCCTGGGGGCACGCGCCTCTGCACCTCCCTCACCGTTCACCAGGACGCTCTGCAAGTATTAACAGCATGAGCTCAGCTAACTCTGCACCGAGTCTCCTTCTGGGGCCGGTCTCCACACCACCCACGGCTTTAACAACCCCCAGGATCACGGCAGCTCCCACATTTGTACCGCCAACCTGCTACTATGAACACAAATAGCTAGGTTTATGAAAGTTTATGAGCTCCTGGCATAATGATAAGCACTTATTAAGCATTATCTAATTTAATCTTCCCAACCACCCTGCCAAGTATTCAGGGATATTACTAGTCCTACTTCTCGGGTGCTAAATCAAACAACTGACAGAGTAAGTAGTTTGCCCAGCGTCACACAGATGGGTAAGGGGCAGGAGAGGTCTAATCAAATGTGGGCCTACTGATTACAGAGCTTGTTCTCAGAACCAAGCATTCAATAATGCTTGTTTGCTGAGTAAAGCGATAGAAGGATAGCTCACAAGGACTGATGGTGAGCTGGGTGAATGGAAAGAAAGAAGAATCAACTTTCTGCCTCCAGGCTTCCATCCATTCTCTATGCTGTTGTCAAAATGAACTTTTTACAAAAAGTAAAGCTGTCATTTTTAGCCACCCTCCCCTCTCTGGTTTTCTACCCTTCTTGGAATAACGTGAACTTCAAACTATGGTCAGAAATTCCCCAACTATCACCTCCAAGCTACCCTTAAGAGCCCCTGGTTGGCTGTTCTTCTCCGCACATGCTCTGGCTCAGCCATCGAGGCCAGTCCCCAGATCCCTCCCTCACTCATCCACACTACACCAGACCTTCCCACAACGCTCACGCTCAAGACAAGCCCCAAAACCATTCTTACCCTCTATCCTATGCTCCTCCTCCACTCTGATCCCTCCCTAAATGAGAAGAAAATGCTTGGAGCTACTAGAGTCCTAACTCAGCAAAATCACCACTAGATTTGCTAGATTGGAAGGACTGATGCTGAAGCTGAAGCTCCAATACTTTGGCCACCTGATGCGAAGAACTGACTCATTGAAAAAGACCCTGATGCTGGGTAAGATTGAAGGCAGAAGGAGAAGGGGACGACAGAGAACAAGATGGTGGGATGGCATCACCAACTCAGTGGACATTAGTTTGAGCAATCGCCAGGAGATGGTGAAGGACAGGGAAGCCTGGCGTGCTGCAGTCCATGGGGTCACGAAGAGTCAGACACAGCTGAGCAACTGAACAGCAACAAGAAAACTCTTCTACTAAGCTCTCTGCCCCCAACTTTGGCCACACTGTGCGGCTTGTAGGATCTTAGTTCCCTGACCAGAGATTGAACCCAGGCCCTTAGCAGGGAAACTGCCAAGTCCTGACCACTGGACTGCCAGGAAATTCCTCCTAAAACTCTTTATTTTTTTTAAAAAAGCTTTTACTGGAGTATAGCTGCATTATAATGTGTTAGTTTCTGCTGTATAGCAAAGTGAA